AAGAAAAACATTAATATCTAGAACTTAATACTAATTGAGCATAAAGAATAAAAAGTGTTGAAAACAAATACAAATAAAGATAAAAAAAAGGGGGAACATGACTGAAAAAGCAGCACAAATACAATAGGTTGACAAACAGTGTTGATTAAAAAAAAAATAATAATAATAAAATAAAATAACAGACATGGGTTGACAATAAAGGAGTGAGGTGGGTTACAGGGAATTTATTAGGTAGTGTTTAGTTTTTATCTTAAACTGGTTGAGAGAGGTACAGTCTTTAACATGGTTGGGAAGGTCATTCCACATTCTGGGCCCCTTGATTTGTAGAGCATTTCTAGTTTGAAGCTGGCGAAGATATACTCCCCACAGCAGTCTCTAGTTCTAATTACTTTTAAGCATGTTAGTTCTTGGTGGTAGTAAAAAGCATTACCACCACCTCTCTGAATTTGACGACAGTTGTGAATTGCCGAGTAGTTAGGCATGTTAAAGAGTTGAGTAGTATCCTGTTTCAACCATGTTTCAGTAAGTATAATAAAAGATAATTTGTTGCCAATAGTTTCAATCAAGGCACTAACATCATCGAAGTGTTTACCTAGGGATCTAACGTTCAAGTTGATTACAGAGATATTGTGATTATGTGTTAATACATTGTTTACATCATGTGCTGTAAAATATCTGCAATTTAGATCATTAAAGTGATGATTGTCATAGATAGTGGATAAGAGGTTTAGTTCTGGGTCTATACTTGTCTGGATAAAAAAGCTGATTGCAGGAAAACAAGGCAAGAATGGCAAATTACAAAATAGAATTATGCTATAAAAGGGGGAAAAATATATAAACAAGACTATACAAAACAAACACAAAATGAACAACAAAAGAAAAAATGAGGTAGCTTACAAGGGGCTTACAGGTACTCTCAGGTACACTATAAGTAATAATTTGCATTATTGAGACACAGGTAAAGCCAGGGGTACAATGGAGTAAGGGAGTATGGCGAGGCTAGGCAACCTAGGTAATAAATGAAATCAAAGAAAAAACATAAACATAGACTATACAATACAAAAGATATAGATATACAAAACAAAGCTATAAACAAGACTATACAATACAAAAACAAAATGAACAAAAAAAGAAAAATGAGGTAGATTGCTTACAAGTACTCTCAGGTACACTGTAATTAACAATTTGCAATTTGAGACACAGGTAAAGCCAGGGGTACAATGGAGTAAGGGAGTATGGCGAGGCTAGGCAACCTAGGTAATAAATGAAATCAAAGAAAAAAGTTGAATAATAAACATAGGCAAATTTAAGCTAATGATTATTAACTATAAATAGTTCAGTTATGACTGTATAATTAATAAGACCTAAAGAAATATTAATGCACTCAATTAATTAAGTCCAGTAAATGACTAGTATAGAGTAAATTAAAAATTAATTTAAAAAGTGAAACAAGGAGACTTAGGATACCTAGCCCGCACTAGGTGACAAGGGGGTTAATTAAGTTGATTCATTAAGAGTAATAATAAGGTGAGACAAACCACATTGGGAGAGGAAAGTGTTGAGGTTCTCTTCATTAGCAATTGTAAACATTTTACCTACTGAAGTCTTTCTCACTTTAATCAAGCCATCTCTAACGAAGCACTGATGAATCGCATCTGGGTTTTGATGACGGATTTGACGCAGGCGGTAGAGGATTTGCTGTCTTTTCCTAGTCAAGCACTCGTTGATGTATAATCCCGTCCGTTGGGATGCAGCTGTCCGGACAAGATAAGATTTCATGGACTGGGAAGTGAGCTTCAGGCGAATTTTCCACTGGTTTTGTCCTGATGGATTCTTTTTGCGTACTCTGTAGGCAGCAATAATGTCTGTTTTGTTTAGAATGACCTGCAATTCGTTTTTAATGAGAGCCTGAGCTATTTCAACACACTTTTCACCTTCACGTGATTTTTTTTTATAGATAGAGCTAGTACATACAATGCCTAAAGTCACTATTACGCAAAGCGTTTCGGGCAGGAAAAACATTAATGACTAAAACTTAATGCTAATTGAGATTAAAGTATAAAATGTGTTGAGAAAATTTATAAATAAAATGGGGGGGGGGGTATGGAACATGGCAGAAAAACAGCAAAAATACAATTTGGCTGACAAACAGCATTGTTTAAAAATAACAGACATGGGTTGACATTTTAGGGGTAAGGTAGGTTACAGGGAGTTAATTAGGTAGTGCTTAGTTTTTATCTTAAACTGGTTGAGAGAGGTACAGTCTTTATTTATTTATTTATTTATATATAGAAGAAGGTACATTGAGATTGTGAGGATACATAGCATAGTAAAGAACACTGTTTTTCCTTAAAACGGGGGGTTTTCTGAGGGAAGAGAAAACGTATGTCTGGAAGCTGACTTTAACCGCCCAAGCTGCGCGCGCAATGGGCCGAGGTTATATATGCCCTGCGTGCAGACTGCGTGGCCCCTCTTCCCGTCAAGCAAGCAGCTGCTCACTTACAAAATTTATAAAAATGATAACAGTTACATAGCATGAAAATATAAAAGATGAGAGAAAAATTGTAGGTATATTAAAGCACATAGGTAGCTCAGAATGATTGCAATGACAGCTTGAATGGTAGTTTAACAAAACTTTGCAGGCACAATATTTATTTATTTATGCATATACAAGAATGTACATAAGGAATGTGAGGATACAAATATGGTAATTACAGTCTTGTAAAGCCACTAGCACGCGCAGCGTTTCGGGCAGGTAAAGCATATGGCTTATGGCTAGCACATAAAAGAAGACAGCAATGAACACAATGATAAAGTTGTTTGGATTAAGTACATAAAGATTGGGAGATTGGGTAACACTAGATACAGATCAAATATAAAGCTCAGTGTAAGAAACTACGAAGATGAAATTAGGTACTTTTTGTTTTTGTTTTTAAATGAGGCAAAAGTTTGACAGCTTAAAAGTGACTTGTTAAAGAGCAATGCAATAGCAGGGGCTAAAAATCTGGAGTTTTTTTTGTAAATTAGAGTTGGTATCTCCTCAAGGGCACTAGACTTGGTTTTAAAGGAAAGGATTATCTCATTAACATCAGTGGAATTTGCAGGCCTTAGGTACAGAGACTGTGGATAGTTACCTGTAAGATAGTCCTGAACATCAGTACTGGAAGATGGAATATCATTTGCAAGGGATGACCCAATGGAAGAGAAGAACCTATTGAACTCAATAGCAGTATCAGAGGCTGTAAGTTGACCATCGTTATTGGACAGAAGTATTGGTTTGTTATTTAAAATCTTCTTTGATCCCAATATTTGTGAAATTGTGCTCCATGTTTTCTTAATGTTGCCCTGTGTTTGGGTAAATTTATCTTCGTAGTATTTAGTTTTGGCTCTTCTAATTATTTTAGATAGCAATAACGAGTAATTCTTTGAAAATTCTTTGGAGACGATTCCTAACCTATACTTCTTCTCAGGGTCATGTTTTTTATTAATGGATTTGTAACGGTTCTATTGTTACATAAAGTATGGTGACAAATAAACAGACACTAAGATACTATATATATATTTGGTCGAATATGCAGAAGTACACAGGTGATACTTTGGTGTGAGTTGAGCGCACTGAGCGTCGGTACAGTATCTCGCAAGTGTCTGCTCTAGACCACACTTGAAAGTAGACTCTGGTTAATGTTTGCTATTCTGCTGCTTATATGCTCGGGCAACACCTCACCGTGTTGCCCGGGCAACGCCTCACCTCATTCATCTCCAAAGGTTGACAGGAATATTAACAATGCATTTGGAGCGAGTATATTATTGGGATAATCTACTCGCTACAGATTTAAGTATTCCCTTTGTAAGCCAAGGATTGTTTAGCCTTTTAGTTGTGAATCGTTTCGTTAGCATAGGACAGTGGGTGTTATAAAGGCTCAGAGTTTTTTGAAGAAAAGATTGCACTGCTAGGTTGATGTCCCCTATGTTACCTAATTCGGACTCCCAGTTGACATTAGCAGCAGTAGTTATAAAACTGCCTATGGCAGCTTCATTGTGCAGCCTATAGCTTATCTCCCTTGTCTCTAGAGGTGGTTTGTTAATGTTAGTTATGAGAAATGTGGGGTAATGGTCTGTAGTGCTATCGATGATTATCCATGAAGTAAGCGGAGAGGTTATGTTGGTCCAGATGTGATCAAGAGTCGTGGCAGTACTATCAGTGATTCTAGTAGGTCTAGTGATTAAGGGTATGAGGAAGCAGGAATTCATACAGTTGAGGAAGCTGGCAGCAGTAGGGTTTCCAGGCTCGCAGAGGTCAATATTAAAGTCCCCTGCGATAATTTTTATCTAATATTAGATTTCTAAGGTTAGAGTTGAATTCGGACACACCAGTGTTAGGAATTCTATAGACTGCTCCCACAGTCAGGACAGACTCAGCACCCTTGACTCTGAAACTGGCGAAGATATACTCCCCACAGTATATGGGGAGTATATCTTATACTCCCAATAATGTCAAAGGCTGCACCTCTCTCAACCAGTTTAAGATGAAAACTAAGTACTACCTAATTAACTCCATGTAACCTACCTTACCCCTAAATATCAACCCATATCTTACTATTTTTAAAACGATGCTGTTTCGTGACCAACTTGTATATTGGCTATTTTCTACCATGTTTTCCCCCTTTTTTAGCTTTTATTTTTTTCTTTCAACGTATTTTATACTTTAAGCTCAATTACTTATAATTACTAAATTAAAAAAATCCTTAACTGTAGCCTCTGTTCACCCAACAGTAAAATGGGTACCTCGTTGTTAAACGATTTAGCGGGTTGTATTCCGGGCAATAGAAGATTAAGGACCTGCACGAAACGCTATGCGTGCTAGTGGCTGTACAAGAATGTAACAACTCTTGTATATAAAAAATATAAATTAAAAATAAATAAAACTACAGAATATAAGTAAGGGAGCCCTAACTTTGAACCAAAGAAAACGAAGAATTAATTCTACTTTGCAGCATAAGCGACCATCGGACGCCATCACCACAACACCAACATAGTCTGAGTCTGTCTGCAAGTCTGATTTGCCCCAGTCTTAGCTCTTTAACCCAAGCACCATCAAGTCTGATTCCAAGGGACAAAGTTTAAGTCTAAATTGAGAGTGAGGAGTGATGTGCCGCCTCACAAGACTGATCGGTCGACCAACAGCAAGAGAAATCTTCAGGGATCTCCTCTCTTATGATGAATAACAAACAGAAAAAGATTATTTAACTCAGAAGCCCAAGGAATTACATCAAAAGAAAATTTTTGTATACAGTAAGCCTTACTCTTGCTTTCCTTAAACTCAACACTAACTAGGTGTTAAATATGCTACATCTACACCCCACATATGGTCCAAAATTTTGATTTAATAAATAATAAATAACTTTATTTAGGAAAAGTACATACATAGTTGATTTACAAACATAATGTTGGATTTATAGATAGAGCTAATACATACTATACTTAAAGCCACTAATACGCACAGCGTTTCGGGCAAGAAACTGCAGCTACAGGAGCGGCAGCTACATTTAGCTGCTTTTTGTGACTTATTAAACAAACCTAGAGGAGGCTGCATGAGGCCGATAAACTTATGAATGGCAGCTGTTATAACCAGTCACTCCCACTAATATACGTGCATAATTGACAGGATAGATAAAGATAAATTATTTAACACGGGTGGAATGCGAACAAGGGAACACAGGTGGAGACTTAGTACCCACATGAGCCACAGGGATGTTGGAAAGAATTTTTTCAGTGTCAGAGTAGTTAACAGATGATATGCATTAGACAGTGATGTGGTGGAGGTTGACTCAGTACATAGTTTCAAATGTAGATATGATAAGACCCCAGTAGGCTCAGGAGTCTGTACACCAGTTGATTGACAGTTGAAAGGCAGGACCAAAGAGCTGAAGCTCAACCCCCGCAAGCATAACTAGGTGAGTACAATTAAGTGAATACGTACATACATGTATGTATCTATGGGCCTCGTGGCTGAGTGGACAGCACTTGGGGGTTGTAGTCCTAATGGACCAGATTTGATTCCCGGCGGAGGCGGAAACAAATGGGGAGTTTCTTTCACCCTGATTAGTGCATGTTCACCTAGGAGTAAATAGGTACCTTAGAGTTAGACAGCTGCTACGGGCTGCTTCCTGGGGATGTGTGTGTGTGTTAAGAGAGAAATATATGCAGTAGATTAATATCCACTGCATTCCTAATTACAGGAAAAATAAATTAGTTTGAAAGTTGGAGTCCAAGAGCTAATAGCTGGATTCTACAGACCACATAGTAAATACAAATATAAAAAAAAAAGAGTTTATATTTTGTCTAACATTTATTATGTAAACTGACAATCATTGAGGTAACTTGTTTAGACACAGGATTGAATGGTAACATATGTACAGCTATCACATGTCTGTCCAGCAACTTGTTCACTTGACGGGTGAATTTGGTTACAGTTTATATATTCAACTTCAGCAGCTTATATAAGAGGCTGCAGCTCCCCAGCATTACATACCTTGTGGACCTTAGTATAACCACAGGTTTCTGTTTCTTCTTTTTTAATTTCCTCCATTGCCTCTTCAACAATTGAATGTTGATTGAAAAAGTTATATATAGTATGTTGAAAATTTGCATATCTTATGTTAAATACTAAATATGTATGTAATATTTTCAGATAAATGATTGGATTTGAATGCAGAACTGGAATGCCTTCATTCTCTGAAGATTGTAAAATGTTAAACAAGTTTGACGTTTCATCTTTCTGTTAAGCACTGTATTCTAACACTCGAAGGCTTCGTTCATAAAATATTGGAGCAACAATATTAGAATAAACTCTTGTACGAACTTATACCTCATACTTTATGCATTAAATAATGTGTAAAGATATGCAGACATGAAAGCGGTATTTACTGTCACATTGTCTCGTAACATTTCTCTGAACTCAAAGAATTAATCCACTAGAAGCAATGTTTTATTTAATAGTAAATTTAAGAATGGCATGACAGTAAAATGCCTATAACGAGGACTGGAAGTAAGAACCTTTTGAGGATGAGTGTAGAGAACAGTGTTGTTGATTCACATAGTAATAAAGAAACCTGTGAAGAAAGTAGTAATAATACTGTTAGTGGTGCAAGTAGTAAAGACAGTGCTAAGAGTTTAGAAAATTATAAAGACTGTGTAACATTGTCAAAAAGTAGTAAAGACTGTGCAAAGAAATCAGAAAGTAGTAAAGACAATGCTAAGGGCACAGAAAGTAGTAAAGACTGTGTAAAGGAATCTGAAAGTAGTAAAGACAATGCTAAGGGCACAGAAAGTAGTAAAGACTGTGTAAAGGAATCTGAAAGTAGTAAAGACAATGCTAAGGGCACAGAAAGAAGTATAGACTGTGCAAAGGAATCTGAAAGTAGTAAAGACAATGCTAAGGGCACAGAAAGAAGTAAAGACTGTGCAAAGGAATCTGAAAGTAGTAAAGACTGTGTAAAGGAATCAGAAAGTAGTAAAGACAATGCTAAGGGCACAGAAAGTGCTAAAGACTTTGCAAAGGAATCTGAAATTAGTAAAGACTGTGTAAAGGAATCAGAAAGTAGTAAAGACTGTGCAAAGGAATCTGAAAGTAGTAAAGACTGTGCAAATGAATTAGAAAGTAGTAAAGACAATGCTAAGGGCACAGAAAGTAGTAAAGACTGTGCAAAGAAATCTGAAAGTAGTAAAGACAATGCTAAGGGCACAGAAAGTAGTAAAGACTGTGCAAAGGAATCTGAAAGTAGTAAAGACAATGCTAAAGGTATAAAGAGTAGTAGAGACTGTGCAAATGGACCAGAAAGTCTTAAAGATGATGCTAAAGGTACAGAAAGCAGCGAAGGCTGTCGCAAGGAGTCAGAAAGTATTAACCAGGGATGCCATAAGAATCATGATGAGAAACCCGCAGAAGCAAAACAGAGTGATGTTGCAGTCATTGAAAACTATGCTGGGGGGTCAGAAAGTGACCAGAGGTGCTATGAGAAGAGACCAGCAGAAGCAACACTCATCAATGACTGTATCGGTAAGCAAGTTAATAGAGCTAAGGTATTATACATTGTACAGTAATTGTAAGAAACTTGTATAGCTTTTTTCTCCAGGCTGATGTCTGTAATGAAATACAGTACTTTAATTTTAATCTTCAATACATGAAATGGATTTTATTTTAAATAGCTAAACCTAACTTGGCAACCTAACCTAAGATATATCTCTTTTTCCAAAATTAGCCCTTTAATTAAGCAGATTATATTGATAACATTCATTACTAATTTTAGGATTATAAGAAAATTAACAGGAATGTTTTGGCTATTAGGCAAATTAGGTCTTTTATCACCTGTTATCAAGGCTATGAAAATTTTTGGGCTTGGCTTCTTTTGTGTCTACTGTCTTTGGTACTATAATGTACAGATATGTGGATAATTTTTGTTTTATTATATAGTTGGATTTTCAAAACTTAAATACCAATACAGTACGTATATATTTCTGAAGGAGCCCCTTGTGGCTTCCTGAAACTACAGTACTATACTGTATATTGATATGGTACCATCTACTACGATGCATGAGTCGTGGAGTTCTATAGGCCTACCAGGGACCAGCACCAAATCCTGACTAACTCAAAGAGGCGCAGGTAGCGGTGACATTTATTTTCACCACTTCACTGGGGAAGGCAGCCAGAAAGTCAGCAAATCAAAACAAATCACTGCTGGCTTCAAAAGAAACAGGAACCTTGGAACTAGTACTGTACAAGCTCACTTGCCCCCACGTCCCGACACTTGTTTGAAGGGAGAGGGGGAGGTAGCTCACCACCAGCCAGTGTCTCGGCTCCAGTTCTGTAGCTTATGTAGTGCTTACTGGCTTGTCTCTGTTCTATACTGGCTCTGATGTTTTGCTTGTTCAGCTGAGTAGTGGTGTTTGCCCTAGGCGGCATTTCCTATTCACTGTAATGTAGTGTGAACCTAGTTTGGAGAGTGCTTGGAGGTGCATGTGCACAGGTTTTCCTTTCTTGTGTGTTCCCTAGTGCAGCCCTTGCATTTCCAGGGTTATCTTCTCAGGAGTGTTTCGGGGTCACTCATTTAGAACTGCCTCTGTACTACATGCACCTCCTCTTCTCCTACTGGGCATGCACCTCTGGACATTCTCCACTGGGGTTGCTCCTGTTACATTGCACAGCTCAGCTGTGTTGTGACACGGTGGTGTGTCTGTTCTGCAGGTGAGATTGTACTGTCTGGTGACTGTCGGCCAGGTGCTGGTTCTCACTTTTTGGTGGTGTACTCGCCTAGTTGTGCTTGTGGGGGTTGAGCTCTGGCTCTTTGGTCCCGCCTCTCAAGTGTCATTCACCAGGTATACAAATTCCTGAGCCTCCTGGGCTCAGGAATCTTATCTAATGTGTCTGTGGCTCATTTGGGTACTCAGTTTCCACCTGTGTCACCTTGTAATTACCTAAGTGTAATTACCTAAGTGTAGTTACAGGATGAGAGCTACGCTCGTGGTGTCCCGTCTTCCCAGCACTCTTTGTCATATAACACTTTGAAACTACTGACGGTCTTGGCCTCCACCACCTTCTCACCTAACTTGTTCCAACTGTCTACCACTCTGTTTGCGAAAGTGAATTTTCTTATATTTCTTCAGCATCTGTGTTTAACTAGTTTTAATATATGACCTCTTGTTCTTGAAGTTCCAGGTCTCAGGAAATCTTCCCTATCGATTTTATCAATTCCTGTTACTATTTTGTACGTAGTGATCATATCACCTCTTTTTCTTCTGTCTTCTAGTTTTAGCATATTTAACCCTTAAAGTGCGCATCATGTCATATGACGTGTTGGACATTGTTCCAGTCAACTGCGCATCACGTCATATGACGTGTTGGAGTACTACTACAAAACAAACCCCACATGGTAAAAACTAAAACAAAAAACCAAACAGAGAGGTAGAAACTCCATACAATCTCAAGGAAACAAGCAAACAAGCAAACATCACACTTTACTGCCGCACCGATCGTCCGCGCAGCCCTCCCCGCCCCGAGAGGGGGAGGGGGGCGCCCTGGACCTACGCACCGGCTGCCTAGCACCAGTTCGTAAGCTAATGTCAACCGGGATAGATGCTTCTCTGGCCTCAGTTTCCTAGGCGGTGTTTGCCTTGTGGCGTTCACAGCCGTGTGTTGTGTTGTGCGGTGGCCAGGAGCACCTCATCTGAGTCATGGCTGCATGCGCTTAGTGGCTGACTTCCCTAAGTGCCCTGTGAGTACTGCCCTTGCGTAACAGGGTTATCTTCCCTGGGGCGTTCGGGAACCATTCCCATAGAGGTTCTTGCTGCTCGGCATTTGCCTCACCCTCTGGGCCAGCTGGGGCTTGGGGCCCTTGTTTGGCCCTGGGTAGGGACTGGTATTGTGCTGGTTAGGGCGTCAAGGTGTTGCGCGACCTGCCACCTAAGCGGCGACCGGTTCCTGTTGCCTCTGAAGACGGTGTACTTTTGTGGGGGTTTTCTTTTGTTTTTATATTCATTTGCTTGGTGGGGGTCTGCCTAGTGTGGCTATAGTTCCACTGGTAGTGTTTGGCGGCCCTCTGCTAGGCCCCCGTGATTGTACACGTTGCAGGGGTTTTCAGTGTTATACTCTACCCCTTGTTAATTTTGGGTGTTTTAACCGGTTAGCAACACCTTGCTTGGGCTTCCCGTAGTTGTTACCCCTACGGGCCCTGGAAACCCCTGTCGGGGCTCGGTGGACCATTGTATGTGTCTTCCGGGTTCCAACCCGTCTTGTACGGGATCGTTGGTTGCTGTGCCCTTGTCTCTGGGTGACAGTCGCCACTTTTACCTCCGTCATGTTGCCTGTTGGGTCACTGACACCTTGACCCAGAGTCTTGCCAGAGAGATTCTCTGCTTGTTCTCCAGTACTCTCCTGATGTTATTACTGTTCAGAGTACAGGCGGCATCCGTGTTGCAAGCTAGGTTAGGTTGCTGCAACATGCTAGGTTGGTTTCCCACTCGGATGCCCCGAGGCCACCCCGTTTTGGTTAGGTGCTGTTCGCCCCTTTCCCTCCCTGTTCCCGGCTCCGGATCATCTGCGGGTTTCGGGGTTGGGATGGGGTTTAGTTGGGGCCCGAGACTCGAGCGGTTTTCGGGGGCTGCCCCGTTCGGGTTGAGGACAGAGGTTTTCAAGCCTGTTCCTCCTGCCAAGGCTTCTGGGTCTTACCAGCGGCCCTTTCTTGCTGCCTTTCCCATGGACTCTTCAGTTTCTTTAAGAGTGGAGGGCTTGGAGGACAGCTCTGCCCCGGGGCCTCTGTTGCGGGTTCCCGGGGCTGTGGGGGAAGCCTGCTAGCAGTTCTGGGGCAGTTTGCCCCTGCCTGGGTTTTCTGCTTCTGGGCTGAGTTTTTCGCTCATCCAGTCTGCTTGCTTCCCACTTTTGCTGGCGTGTTTTTGTATCTTTTGCGTCAGACACAGCCCTCTGTTCTGGTGGCCATTTTCGTCTGCCACCAGAACAGAGGGCTGTTCTGGTGGCAGAACAGAGACCACCAGAACAGTGGCCTCTGTTCACTGGTGAACAGAGGCCACTGTTCATATGACGTGATGCGCATGGACGCATCACGTTCATATGACTGGCCATGGACGTCTTCGAGTCGGCGTGGTTTAGGTGTCGCTTATTTTATGTGGCGCCCTTACCCGCCTGCGAGGCGTTCACGGTGGATGCCCTTCGGCAGGACTGGTCGAGGTGGGGGTATTTGTTCCTCTTCTCCCTGTCCAGCTGTTGCTTTGGGTTCTGGCTCGGTTGGAGCCCATTCCCACAAGAGTAGTCCTTATGGTCCCTTGGTGGCCGACCTAGCTTCTTTTCAGACGCTGCTTGATAGGTGTTCGAACCCGGGGCGTTTTCCTGCGGCTCCGCCTCTTTCGGCAGGTCAGACCGGTCCTCTACGTGACTGGTTCAGCCTTCTCCTCGGCTCTTCGCGTCTGGTATTTTGACGCAGGTATCACCATCTCTGTGGTGATCAGGTGGCTTTGTTGATGTCCCACCTGTGAGCTTTGTCTCGGCGACAGTATGACGTTCCTGCTGTTTCTATGCACTTTTTCTTGCTCTTCGTAGGTTGTCTTCTCTTTCGCATCGAGTTGTCTTGTCCTTTCTTGGGTTTTCAGGACTAGTTTTGATGTTTCTTACTGTCACCTGGTTTTGTGTGGTGCTGGCGGAGCCGCTCCGGCTTGTGTTCAGGGTTCAGGGTGGTGGACGTCACATCTGCCCCGTTTCGTACGCTTTCTCGTGTTTTGTTTCACCTCCAGCCTGCTCATGCGTCGCCTGAGCCATCCTGATACTTGATCAGGGTGGCCTTCTTATCTTCTCCTCAGTTTTTGGTAGCACCTTCGGTTCAGGTTTCTGTTCTTTGGTACTGGTGGTAGGTTTGTATGTTTGCAGCCTTTCTCCGTCTTGGCGACGGTCGAGATGGCTGCTTTCTGGAGGGGTTCTTGGGTTATTGATGATTGGTTCGGCCGGGGGTGCGTCCTGTATTGTCTGGTTGCGCTTTTTGCCGTTGCCTGCGTACCGTGTCTGGGGATGCGCTTTGGGTTGATCTGGTTCCCCTCGTTCCCTGTTTCAGGGCTCGGGTCTCCCAGGTCGTCCGCAGAGTTTTAAAGTCTTCCAGCCTGTGGTCTGTCCTTGCGCCCGTGCTGTTCGGACGTTTGCAGCTTTTGCTGCTGTGTTGGTGACGTCTTGGGTTCATTTCGGGCGCAGGGATTTGAGGGTCGCACAGGTTCTTGGCCGTCCATTCTTTAGGCGCGTCTGCTCCTGTGCGTTCTTGTTGCCTTGGGTCGCAGGTTGCAGCCTGTTGTCTCGGCTTCGCGTTGCGGAGTTTGTGGCGGCCGCCTCCCGGGTCAGCCCTTTCTTTTCCTTCTCTTTGGGTATGAAGCTCCAGGGAGCCGTAGGGGCTCCCCACAGAAAACCAGCGTTGAATGTAATGAAACACCATTTTCTGGGTGAGCCCCGGAGGCTCCCTGGCAACCCTCCCTCCCACCGGTCGGCGTTTTTTTCGCGTTGATTGAAGCTTAGCTTCCGAACTGGTGCTAGGCAGCCGGCGCGGTAGGTCCGGGGTTTCCCCCTTCCCCTCTCGGGGCGGGGAGGGCTGCGTGGACGATCGGCGCGGCAGTAAAGTGTAATGTTTGGTTGTTTGCTTGTTTCCTTGGGATTGTAGGGAGTTTCTACCTCTCTGTTCATTTTTTTTTTTTTAGTTTTTACCATGTGGGGTTTGTTTTGTTATGCCTACCTCTCTGGGTGCAAACCTTGGTCGATGGCAGATAAGGATGACCCCAATCACAAGGGGTTCATCTAGGGTCATTGCTCCCTGAAACCTCTCTGAAGGGGCCAGGTTCTGGCGCTGGTCCCTGGTAGGTCTGAACTCCTTAGCTAATGTCCTGGTCTAATACACCATACATTAGCCTGATAAGCTCCAGAGAGCCTCTGGGGCTCACCCAGAAAATGGCGTTTCATTACATTCAACGCTGGTTTTTTACAGCCCACCCTCCTAAAATGATAGTACAGTACTTATAACTATTTAATTATTATAAGTAATCCTAGCAATTCTAGGCTTAATGCATGCTATGTTTGGGCTTTTATAGCACATACAATATGTGTGCTATCTTAGACCTGAATGCTTAATTTTGGTTTTAGCTTTATTTTCCTGACTATAAAATTAAAAATTACAGAAAGTGGAGTTTTTGGTGGTCCATCAAGTACTACATATTTATACTGTATTTTGGATCAAATACAGTAGTTACAATAAATTCTAGCATTTCAGAAGGAAGGATTGAGTTTTATGTAGATATATATTGTATGTACAGTAGACTGTTCAGTGTGCTTTGTTATCTTTCAGAAGATGTATCAGAGGAGGAAACTGAGCTGGATTTACTCAATATGGAGGATTTTGAAGTGGTAGATGCTTTTGAGGTTGAAGAGGATCCATCTGAACTGTGCCATGGGAGTCCACTACCAACCTCTGGTGCTGAAAAACACACCAGGAACACACAAGTTACACACACAAGTACTGCAACAACAGATAAAAGCAACAGGAGCAGAGAGATTGGGGATAAGCGAAGCAGAGTCCATAGCTCTAAAGATTCTTCAGAATTACGTAATGAGCGAAAGAGTAGTGAGTCCTCCAGAAGACATAAGAGAGATGATTCAAGAGGCTCGGGAAATTCTCGTGGGAGATTCGATACTCGTCATGACCAGAGGAAAAATCGTTCGGACAGACCAGTTGATAAGCATCATTCTGTAAGGTCATCTAATCACAGATCCAATAGAAAGCGAGATTACTGTAAATCAAAAGACAGGAACAGTGACAGTAAGAGAGTCTGTGTCAGAGAGGAGAAAAATTATCGTGAAAAAGAAAGTTCTCAGAAGTTAAGAAATAAACAGACAAACTCGCAACTATCTAACAAACAGAATGAAATAAATATACGAAACATATCACAGAATAATGATCAGAAAGTTAGTATAAATAAGAGAGATGCAAGTGACCATGGAAGAGAAGCAGCAAGTGCAAGTTGTGGTTCTAAGAAAGTTGAAAAAAATGAATTAGAATCAAAGCTTGATTGTCATAAAGTCAATGAAAGGTCAGACAGTATTTTAGATTTTCTACTAGAAAAAGACCTGGCTCAGGGAGATAGCTCTATTGATAGAGAATTAAGTCAAGTAATTGATGACAGAAAACAGAAAGAAGAAAATTCTAAGCAGACAAAAAGCAATGAGACCCTGAAGCAAGCTCTACGGACTAATGATGAAATGGAGAGTTGCCAGAAAAAGTGTATCGAGCTGAATTCTAATACTTTGGAATCTAAATTAGTTAGAATTTCTGAAGGTTTAAATAAAGATCCTCAATCTGAGTCAACCATAAAGGATTCTAAACTAGAAAATCCCAGCTTTAATCAGGCTGAAGAACATTTCAAGCAGAAATGCAGCAATATAGAGCAAACAATTCAAACTTTTAATCTGAAACTCCTGCAGGAAACAGCATATTCCAATGAAAATTCAAATTCAAAACAGTCAGTTGAATATTTTAAACATAAAGACAAATCTGTAAAGAGTGCTGTAGGTTTGGAAAAAGAGGATGGCAAGTCCAAGCGGACATGTGACGAGTCCAAGCAGACAAGAGAAGAGTCCAAGGAGAGGAGTGATGAATCTAAGCGGAAGAGTGATCAGTCCAAGCGGAGAAGTGATCAATCCAGGTGGAGGAGTGACGAGTCCAAGCACAGAAGTGACGAGTCCAGGCAGAGGAGTGGCGAGTCCAAGCGGAGAAGTGACGAGTCCAAGAGGAAGAGTGACAAGTCCAAGGGGACGAGTGATGAATCCAAGGGGACGAGTGGCAAGCCCAAGGAGACGAGTGGCGAGCCCAAGGGGACGAGTGGCGAGCCCAAGGGGACGAGTGGCGAGCCCAAGGGGACGAGTGGCGAGCCCAAGGGGACGAGTGGCGAGCCCAAGGGGACGAGTGGCGAGCCCAAGGGGACGAGTGGCGAGCCCAAGGGGACGAATGGCAAGACCCAGCAGGAAAGCCTTGATCACAACCAGGAGGATGCTAAATATAAAACAGATGTTGACTCTGAACGAAACTGTTTCAAAATTAAACAGAAAATTGAGGCTAATAAAGATGACTGTCATAGCGGTAGGAATGGAGCTTCAGATTCCAAGCAGAAGGAGTCTAGGTTTAAATCTGAAATGGCAACAGCTAAAATAGAAATGTCTAAATCTGAACTTAAAACTCATGACTCTGAAGACAAAGATGAAACATTAATGATGGACAGTGAGGGTTCTAAACAGGAAGACCTTCTTTTGATAAAGGCAAAGGAAACCAAGAAGTCTGAGGGAGTTAAACAAGATGTTAGGATATCTCAGATCAATGATAAGTGTTGTAGATGGGATATTTCTATAGAGTCGAAACGAAGTGACAACAGATCCCGGAATACTGCTAAGGGTTCTAGATGGGATAAAACTACAAAGTCTGAACAAGAAGAAAAAAAATCTCAGAATGTTGGTAAAGGTTCTAGGTTGGATAATTCTAAGGAATCTAAACAAAAAGATGGCAAATATCATAACAATTCTAATAACACTAAACAAGAGGATAGCAAGTCGAAACAGCAAATTAACTCCTCTAAGCCAGGAAGGGACACTAAGTCCAAACAAGAAATTAAAGATACTAAGAAGAATTCACCAACTTTGCAGAATGATCCCTGTGACATGGAAGGGATGATAGACAAATACTTAGAGTCTATAAGGAAAGAATATGCAACAACAACAAAGGAACATGTACCTGATAATGATGAAGTATGTAAGAAGGTGAGTAAACTTTCCATGCCTTCTCATTTTATATATGTTCAAATTGATGCCCATGATATGTAGTAATAATTCTGTATGCAGGACTATACCAAGGGTGATAACTTTTTGGCATGCGACCTGCAGTGCCGCCCCTTGATTTCTCATGAACTACCCATAATAATAATTAACTAAGTGACAGATTGCCCTTTAAAAATAGCTTCCATTACAATTGATGGTGCACCCAGCATCAGTTAAAAAAAGCAGGTTTTGTAAATGTGTTTTCAAATTAGGTTGGACATCTCCAAGTAGGGTTTTACTTTATTGTATATGAGGAGGCTTTGTGTCCAAGAGTTGGCCTTAAGGAACTGTAAGTGATGACAGTTGTAACCAAGGTAATTTTATTTCCCCACTTAAAAAAAAAAAAAAAAAATATGTATATATATATATATATATATATATTTATTTATTTATTTATTTATTTATTTATTAGTATGTTTTGGTAGCAGTCTTTCCTATAGACACATATTATTAAATATGACCAAAAATGTAAGATTAATAATTCTAACACAAATTTTCTCAATGTTTCTTATATTTTTCTCAACTGTTGATGGTAACTGAAAAATCAATTCTCCAAAATTCATTTTTATTTCTAGTCTGACGCGACACTTGAGCGCGTTTCGTAAAACTTATTACATTTTCAAAGACTTTAGTTTACACAGACACAACTATAACTGAACAGAGCTTAAACATCTTCGATTTTATACCTGCATTTGGGTGAGGTGATATGTTACAACAGTTTTGGATGAGGTGAAAACAAACTTTCAACACAAGACAGAACACGAAACAATGGGTATAATATTTTGTAAGTTAAAGGGAAGAATGGAAGTAACTGCAAAGGGCCTATTGGCCCATATTTCTTGATGCTTCTATATTGGTGCAGAGTCTTGAAGTGGGTAGAATATAGTTGTGCATTAATTGCCTGTTGATTGCTGGTGTCGACTTCTTAATGTGTAGTGCCTCGCAGATATCTAGCCGCCTGCTATCGCTGTATCTATCGATGATTTCCGTGTTTTTTGTTAAGACTTCTCTGGTGATGGTCTGGTTGTGGGAAGAGATTATATGTTCCTTAACCCTTAAAGTGCGCATCAGGCCTGATCGACGACCGGGCCATGGGGACGCTAAGCCCCGGAACAACTCCAAAGGTAACTCCAAGGTAACTCCCAGGTAGTCCGCAGGGTTATTCGGTCCAACCAGCCTGCGGTCTATCCCCGTGCCCACCCGTTTACTATCCCCGTTCATAAGTTTGCTGCACTGGCTGCCATCTTCGGTAATACGTCTTGGGCTGACATTCGGGCAATGGGGTTTTTGGAGGTTGAACAGGGTCCTGGCCACTCGCTACCTTGTGAATGTTCCGGGGCATGGTCGGGCCTATGTTACATCGGGTTGGTGGTTGCAGCCAGTTGTCTCGACTTCCCGTTGAGGGGCAAGGGGCGAGGGCCGACCACCTCCCGGGTAAGTCCCTCTTGTTTTTGTCTTTTGGTAAATAGCTCCAGGGAGCCAAAGGGGCTCCCCCTAGAAAACCAGCATTGAATGTAATGAAATGCCATTTTCTGGGTGAGATCAGGAGGCACCTTGGCAACCCTCCCTCCCTCCAGTCAAGTTTTCTTTTTTTTTTTCACGGTTTTTGACACCAAGCCTCAGAACTGCAGGGTAGATTGCCAGCGTGAAGGTCTGGGGGCCCCACCTTCCCCCTCCCGAGGAGGGGGGGATTGTGCAGACAGCGGCGTGATGTCATGCTCGTTTGCTCGTTTTCATTTGGGGAGTTCTGTCCACTAGTTCGGCTTTCAGTAGCAATATTGTGACCAGAATAGGGTTTTGGGGTGCTTACAGGAGGGTTTTGGGGCGCTAACCTTTCTGGGTGCCTGACCCGGTCGATGGCAGACATGGCATGCTTCTAACCACACCGGAGTTTCCATAGGCCATTGCTCCTCGTGCCTCTTCTGAGGGGGCCAGGTTCTGACTCATGGTCACCAGTAGGCCTAGAACTCCACTCACAGTGACTGATGCCTAAGTCTAATATATATATATGTATCAGCCTGGATAGCTCCGTGAACTTCCGGGTCTCACCCAGAAAATGGCGTTTCATTACATTCAACGCTGGTTTTGTGTCTTTATTGCCAAATCTATGACAAGCAGGTAGCTTCTCTGACGGTGTCTCACCCGCACTCTTCTTCTCGGCGACAGTATGAGATTTTGTGGTAGTCCTTTTGCCATTTCCTTTCTGCATCATTTTTTATCAGTTTCTAAGCATGTGGTGTTCTCCTTTCTTGGCTTTTCCTTGATTGGTGTCTCATGCTGAATGCTGTCACCTTGCATCATGCAACACTGGCAGAGCCACTACATCTTGCTTTTGGTGTCGATACTACTCTGGCACCGTTTTGCAGGCTGTCACATGATATGTTTCACCACCTGCCTGCTCATGTGTCACCTCCCATCAAACACCTGATGAAACTACGATGTTGCTGCAACTTTCAAACCAATATAGCAAGTTTTAACAATGTTCTAATGTGTCATAAAAAGTTATAACAAGATGTAACAACTTTATTACAAGTTGGAACAGTGCTGAGCCTGCCTGGTCCTTAGAATGTGTTCTCGGTTTTCTTTCTTTAACTCATTTTACTTTCACCTTTTGGTCTCTGATTCTTTCTCTAAGGCATTGTTTTTGGTTTCTCTTGCCTGCTAATTTTGGGTTCGAGAGCTTCATGCTCTTCCCCGAAGGTACGGTTTCTGTTCCTTTGGCCTTGGTAAGTGTTTTGTTCATTTTGCAGCGGTCTCCTCCTTTTCTGGCAAAGAACGTGCCTGTTGGCTTCCAGAAAGCTCTTTTGGTTATTGATGCTCGGTGTCCCTGATCATGCACTTCCCATGTGCCCATGGTGTTAGGAAGTCTACTGCTCTTTCGGCTACGTTTGTGAATATGTCCTGGGCCAATATTCAGGCGCGGAGGTTTTGGAAAGTCTAATAAGGTTCTGGCGGTTCAGTAGTTGGTGAATGTTCCTGGGCTTCGGCATCCTTATGTGGCCTAAGGTTATTTCTCTTGTCCAGAGGGTTCTTCCTTCTTCGGGGAGCCACAAAGGAGTCCCCTAGAACGCCAGAGTTTGAATGTAATGAAATGCCAATTTCAGGGTGAACCCCTGGTGACTCTCAGATCCACCCCGTCCTTTCCAGGTAATCAGGGTGTGTTTACATTTGCTCCAGAACTGACAGCTCAAATCTGGTCAGGCAGTAAACCACTTCCTTTCTCCAATCGATTGGAGGAAGGTGGGCTGAATGAGCTTGCACTAATTTCGATAGAATGTGATCATTTGTTGACATAGTTAAGGGAGTTCATTAGGCGGGTTTCAAGGCTTTGGTCTCTTTTTTTTTTTAATCTAGCACAGGTTTGTTTTGACTCGCTGACTCTTTAGTTGCCCTCCGCGGTGAGGTAGCAAAATGTCAATGCTCCTGGCAACTCTTTGAGGGGGTTAGGTTCTGATGCTGGTCCCCCGTTAGACCTATACAACTCCACGGCTAGTGCTACATGGTAGATGAATACTGTCTCTGTATATTGCTTCAGGGAACCACAGGGGCTTACTGAGAAATTGGCACTTCAATACACTTAACTTTATTTCAAAAAATACTTTTGACTAACATACTTATTGAGTTTTTTTTAATGAACATGATTGTAATAATTAATTTTTTTATTTACAGGTAATTGGTAAGCGACACAAGTACAGGTTTAGCAAGGTGGTTATAATTGGAGATTCTCGCATCAAGCACTTGGAAGATGTTGGGATAAAGAGAACATTTGGCCCTCTGGAGATCAAGTGTGTGCCAGACTTGACCTTTGATAATCTGGAGGAAGCTGTGAAGCATAATGTTGATAAAAGCAATTGCCCTCAAGGAATCTTGCTCATCTGTAGTGTTGGCATCTATGATGTGATTGAGTTAAATAACAATTTATCCTGCAAGGAAATGCTTGACCATGAACCAATGGAACAAATCTACTCTCGAAACTATTATAAAGCCTCATATATTTCGAATTATGTGGTGAAAATGACTAAAAGATTAAAAGGATTATTGGGAGATAGTTCAAGAGTCTACTTTACAAGTATTCTTCCAGTACATATAAATAAATTTAATGAGTGCCAAGCAAAAGCTCATGAGAAAGCTACTGGACACATCCCAGATTTTCCACCTTTCATAAAAAAGCATTATGATAATGTAGAAAAGAATATTAATAAGGACCTGAATAAATTTAACGCCTCAGTCATAAAATTAAGTTTGAGAGGAGATGGGAAAATAATTCCTTGGAATATTTTACCTTCTAATTCAAGCAGATGTCTGGAGGATGGTATAAACCCATCAAGAGATGCAGTAGAAAAGTATATGGTTCCAATGTTAAAGTGTACCATAAAGCAGTACCATATAAACAGGTACCAGGAATTTGTTATTATTGGCGATTCTAGATTACAAAAAGTACAAAGACTGTGGTTCAATAATTATGAATGGAAAATTTCTATATTTACACAGGGCAAGTTGTCCTTCCGAGCTTTGACTGAGGACAACCCCATTGTGAAGGAAATTTCAGGCAAGAAGGATGCACTTATAGTTCTTAGTTTAGGCATGTATGATATTATAAACTTTGTTGCAGAAGATGGGTGTGACTCCCATAAGATGAAATTGGAATTACCCTCATTATGTTTTGAGAACTTGGACTCAAGTGATAAACTCTGGAATGACTTTGTTAACTCACTGAAGAGCGTTGACGAACTTCTCCGTAAAGTAACGACTAACTGTGATGTAATAATCACAACCATTTATCCATTTGATTTTCTGACCTTACAGAACTACTTGGTCAAGAGACACGCTGAAGAAACCGGACACATTGTAACAATTCCTTCACAATCCATGGAAATAAAGGAAAAATTAAACAGGATTGGGCAGTTTATATTAGGAATTAACAGGATTGCATTTACACTTGCTGAAGTGAAACAGTTGCCTGTCTGGGACTTTAACAGTTTAGTGTTTGGTATTCACCTGCCAAAAGATAATGTTCCTTTGATTGATGGTTTCAATCCAACTTCAGTTGTAGCAAGGAGGATAGCTGAAGCTTGTGTGAAGTTTGCTAAGACTTCTCAGTATGTCTGTTCTCCAAAGTTAAGTCTTGATAAAACAGAGGACGATGCTGACTTTGACAAGATGCTTCATGTGCGCCAGCCTCATTTATCAACTCTTTTAGAAATCTATAATTTTGATTTATCTGTCCCACCACTTTTGATTGAAAAGAAACGGAAAGGTAAAAGTGATGAAAAAAACAGTTGTAATGATTACTACAGTTTTATAAAACAAAAAGTACTTGTGAAAATATCTAGTGTTTTGAGATTAATACCAAATGTTTATATGAGCAGGCCTTTGCCTATTACATTACTGCAAGAAATGAAAAGAGAGAGCAGTATAGACAACTGTGTAGCTGCCAGGGGGGAAACATCAACAGCAAGTGCCAGTGAGAGTAGAGAGAGCACATACAGAACTAAGAGTCGAGCCAAATACTCCCGTCCTGAGTGTGCATCTCCATCTGCCTTGAGCTCATCACCACATAGACATGTAAGTGAGAAAATCAAGTTCAGAACTGAAAGACAACATTGTTCTATTAGAGCTGGCAGCTACAATAAAAATCGGCATCTTGATTCTGTCTCTCCATCTTCCGTGCGTTTGTCATCTCCAGATTATCAAATAGGGAAAAAAACAAAATTTAAATGGGATGAAGCAGACTCTGTTATAAGGAATAAATTGGCAGGAAATTACACAGTAAACTACACAGACAGTAGCTTTACTATTTGCGAGGATGATACTCTAAATAGATTCAAAAGCAGTGAATGGCTGGGTAGAAATTATAGTCCTAGCAGAAGCTGTAGTCCAGAGAGAAAGTATAGTTCAGGGAGGGAATCGAGCCCTTGGAAATATGGTAGTAAATTCAGACGTAACAGTGGAGATATGTCTTACAGTGAAGAAGAAAGTTACTATTATAACCGAAAAAGTTATAGTCCAGAAAGAATTAGTAGGCGGGAGAGATATCACTCGCCTGTTAAACAGTATCCTTTTGATAGAGATGAAACATTCAGGCCAAATCCAAGAAGAAGTTGCAGTCCAGTCCAACACTATGCACATAGCTCAAGTGATCGGGTCAGCAGCGAGCGTTTGAGACAAGATAGGCACCCCAGCCCATGGAAGAGAGCGATGCGCTCATCTTCACTTTCTCCACATTGGAAAAGGTATGAATATACTTGGTTTATATCTTGCCCTAACTTCTTTCTGGCATAATTCTGTGAGTTGAAGGCATCATTAATATAGTATGAAGTATACCTGGAGCATACCCGGACAGGAGTTTCGGGAGTTCTACTTCCCTAGCCCAGCCTGGGGCTAGGCTCGGCTTGGGACAACTTTGTCCAGCAGGCTGTTGCTTGGAGCAATTTGCAGGCCCACATATCCACTACATCCCAATTGGTCCAGTACTTCTTGCAAAAACTTACCCAATTGCTTCTTGAAGAAGTCCACCTTTGTTCTGGCAATATTTTTAATGCTTTCTGCGAGTGTTCATCAACCGTGGACCTCTGTTGTTCAGACAAAGCTTTCCAATTGTGCTTATGGCACTTCTACACTTCACTGGTTCTATTCTGCATTTCCTTCCATATCTTTTGCTCCAGTATGTTGTTATTCTACTGTGCAAATGTAGAACTTGGCCTTCCAGTATCTTCCATGTATGTATATTATATTATACCTCTCTCATCTCCTTTCCAGAGAGTACATTTTGAGAGCTTTGAGATCATCCCAATAATTTAGATGTTGTATAGTTTGTGGTCTTATTTGGCCTTTCTCATCCTCTGTTACATTATCTTCCAACCCTTCCTTTCTGTTCTTTTTTCTTTCCCCATTTCCTTCTCCACCCTGCCCATCATTCCTTTGGCCCTGTCTCATCCTTCCCCTTTCTCTGTTCCTTCCCTCCATTTCTTCATTTCCTACCTCCCTCTCTCCCATCATTTTGTCCCTCCTTCGATCTCTTCAACTTCAAAGGTTTGCTTTCTTCATTGTCTGCAGATTGAGTTTGCAATGTCTTTTTTGCCTGTTCAGATTTTGATTAAGCTGTTAGCTTTTTTCCCTTCATTCTACAGAATGAAGAGGAATTTTTCATTCCCGCATTCAATTGGCCTTGGGTGTGTGCATCATAGATTTCATTTCTTAAGTTTTTGCTGGTGACTTATTTCTTTTCGGTTTTGTGCCAGCCTCCATTGCTAATACAATTTCATAGGAATTTCCACAGTGTTCTTTGCTCTCTATGGGTCCTGTGTGACTCCTGTTGCCCCTGCAGATCTTTTCTAGCTTTGGCATATTTAGCACTTCAATCCTCTTCTTGAAGCTTCAGTTTTTCAGTTCTGGAAGGTATTTAGTAGCATGTTTTTGCATCTTTACCAGTTTATTGATGTGCTTCTTGAGATATGGGCACCAAACAACCATTAAATATTCAAATTTTTATCTCACAAAAGTTGTCAAATATTTCTTTAGTATTTCACCATTCATGAATTTGAAAGCTATTCGAAACTTGGAAAGCATAGCATAAGCTTCTCTCGCAATGTCCTTTATGTGGTCCTTTGGTGACAATTTGCTCTCCAGAACCATCCCCAGATCCCTTTCTTTGTCTGCCTTCTTTAATGCCTTTTCACATAATTTGCAGCGTGTGTGGCCCATTTTCTCCTATGACTTTCCATAACATGGCATTTATACATATTGAATTCCATCTTCTTAGTTGTCCAGGTCATCTTGAAGGGCTTGTTAATTGTCTAATTCTTTTATCTTCCCTAGTAGTTTAGAATCATCAACAAACATGTTCATATAATTCTGTGTTCCCTCTGATAAATTGTTTATATAGACAATGAAAATTACTGGTGTGAACTGAACCTTGTGATACTATACCAGTAACATTTCTCCAGTTTTGTGCCTTTCTTTTTACCACCCTCATTTTCTGTGGGGAACCCCTTCGCCTCCCTGGAGCTATCAGGCTAATATGCAATTCATTAGACCAGGGCATTAGTCAAAGGAGTTCAGCCTACTGGGGACCACAAGCCAGAACCTAGCCCCCTCAGAGAGGCATGGAGTAATGGCCCTGGAAAATACCTGTGGTTGGGAGTTTTCCTTATCTGCCATCGACCGGGGCTAGGCACCCAGAAATGTAGGCATAACAAAACAGACCCCACATAGTAAGATAATTACAACTAAAAACTGAACAGAGAGGCAGAATTCCCTCCAATCCCAATAAAACAAGCAAACGTCACACCCCACCGCCACACTGCTAGTCTGTGCAGCCCCCTTCCCCTAGGAGGGGGAGGGTTGAGCCCCCCCCCCCAGTGTTTTGCCTTTGTGTGTCCTCTGCTGTTCATTGTGTGGAGGCCAGGTGTCCCTGAGGTGTACTGGGGCTGCATGAGCTTAGGGCAGCCTTCCCTAAGTGCCCTGTGAGTACTATTCTTGCGTGTCAAGGTTTTCTTCCCTGGTACATTCGGGACTCCATTTCCATAGGAGTTTTTCCTGCTTGGCATCTACCCCACCCTTTGGGTCAGCTGGGGTTTCGTAGCCCTTGTTTGGTCTTGGGTAGGGAGTGATATTGTTGATGGTTGGTGCATCAAGGTGTTGCGCAGCCAGCTTACCTACGCAGCCGCCGGTTCCCGTTTCGTCTGGGGACGTTGTATTTTCTGGGGCGAAGCCCCTTCGACTCCCTGGAGCTAACTGAGCTGATGTGAATGTATTAGACTCTGGTATCAGTCAATGCGCATGGAGTTCTAGGCCTACTGGGGACCATGAGCCAGAACCTGGCCCCCTCAGAGACGTACAAGGAGCAATGGCCTATAGAAACCCCTGTTTGGTTGGAAGCTATGTCTGCCATTGACCGGGTCAGGCACCCAGAAAGGTAAGCACCCCAAAACAATCCTCTATTATTAAAATATTGCTACTGAAAGCTGGCCAACTGGACAGAACTCCCCAAATGAAAAGGAGCAAACAAGGATGACGTTACTGTGCCACTGTCTGCGCAAGCCCCCTCTTCCCCCACCCTCCCCGGGAGTGGGAAGGGGGGAACCCTAGACCCCCGCTGGCTATCCACCCTGCAGTTCTGTGGCTGATGTGAACTGGCAAGGTCGTGTGCCTCTGGCTCCCGTTTTCCAGTTCTGTGCCTTGTAGTGTGGTACTGTCTAGTGGTGGTGCACGAACCAGCAGTTATTTCACAAGTACTTGGGCTGCTTGCACCTAGGCTCCCCTTCCTTAGGTGCCCTGTAAGTACTGCCCCTTGGGGCTTGGGTCCACCTTCCACAAGTCACCTCTGCAAGGTCTTTTGTTGCTCGATGATTGACTGCCTTTGGTGTCTGCTGGAGCAGACAGCAAAGCTCTGGAAGGACGTCCGTCCTTCGCCACGTCCTTCCAGGAAGAACCCTCAGACAAAAGTAGTCTCCCTTTCGATAAGAATGGGGTAAGCAGGTCCAACCACTGCAGGTTGGAGGTCTTGCTCCCTAACCCTTCAGAAGGCTGCAAGCCCTGTGTCACAACAAGAGCATTGGGTCTTTTTTCTGGGTACAGTTACCAACAATATCTAGTAATGTGGTTTGGACGTTTACAGTGACCGACCACAGATACGTCGGGGAGAAGAGACATTACTAACAGGATTACCCTTCGGTTCACTCGGTCTTCTGTTACTGGTAACATACTGTGTGCTCTTAAGAGTAGTGTGTCCCCATAGCCTTCCTCCTATCACCATAACTGGCGGTTTGAAAAGGCTCTGGCGAGGTTATGTATTAGCCATACCCGCTTAACTCATGGGCACTTAATGGAGCGCCGCCCTGCTCCTTATTGTCCGAATTGCATTGTCCCTCTTACGGTTGTGCATATTCTTTTCAGTTGTCCTGACTTCCAGGATGTTCGTGTGTCTTGCTTCCCAACTGTCCCTCACGGTCACCTGTCCCTCAATAGTATCCTTGGTAAATCTTTGATGTTGTTCGCCTTATGTGCTTTTGTTCTCGGATTGGCATCCTAAGTGATATTTAGCGCCTTTGGAATATCCCGCACTTTTGATGCTGCTACATAGCCTTCCCGGCTTGGTGCCTTATTTTGATAATTATTTACTTACTCAGACTACCTGTTGATGATTTCGAGGATCAGCATTCCCACAGCATGGTCTCTGTCGAGGCCTCGTGACTGCTGGTCTGATCAACCAGAAATAAAGCAATGAGTGTAATGCAATGGTTTTTCCATGGTGGCACCTTTGTAGCTACCAATCCCCACTCTGTTCTCCCTTTTTCATGTCTTAGGGCACCTTGATTCAGTAGGTGTTCTGCTATATCAGTTTTATTTGGTAGGTTCCTAATTAGCAAACATCTGAAGTTCACTCTGTCACTGTCTATTATTTAATTATAATTATTTTATTATTATTATTTGACTATTATTAAATGTAATTTATAGTTTATCATTATTTTCAGATCACGGCTGCGATCACGATCACAGTCAGGATCACGATCACAGTCACGGTCACGATCACAGTCATGGTCACGATCACAGTCACGGTCACTGTCGCGCTCACGATCCATCTCGAGCTCTCGCTCGCATTCAAGCAGAGGAAGAAGAACCAAATATGGTTCAAGCAGAGGAAGAAGAGATGAGTCTGGTTCAAAGCATTCAGTTATTGTGCGTGCACTGCACTCTCTGCGTGAAGTTCACGACCGAGAGTGTGATATGTATAGAAAAAACCCTAAAGCTCATCCTAATTACACTAAAGAGTATCGAACATTTGTTGACAAGAAGAGGGAGAGAATTCTTTCACTCGGAGGTGATCCAAACACATATGACATGACAAGAGAATGGGAAATATTTTGGCAGTCTCGTATGGAAGCTATATTTAATGAATGTTGGACAGTCAAGAGAGACCAGTGTGTATCAATGCTGCCTATTGATAAAAGTTACTCCCGTTCCCCTTCTCCCTCTTCTAGTTGTTCTGTGTCTTCAGATAGTTCATCAGATGCCAGCAATTATAATTGTAGAATCCTTCGTAGAAAGAGAGCTAAACACACTAGATCATTGAGTGCGCATAGAAAGAAAAAAATTAAGAAAATTAGGAAGAATAGAGAGAGAAGTATTAGAAGTAGAGATCCTTCCAGTCATTATGAAGACAAGGAAGTACTAGATGAAAAGAAGAGGAATGCCAAACAGAGAGACTTTACCAGGAAGGGAAGGAAAGATGACCACTTCCAGAGTCCCAAATGTTCATCAAGTGAAACATCTTGGGATAATGATCTCGCTGGAGAGAAAGGAAGTAGTGGTGTTGCTAACCAAAAATTAAAGAATGTAAAGGATACTAAGGAAAAGTTGGGTATGGAAAAGATGGAAGGAATTATTAATGAACTTTTACAACAAGTTATTGAACCCGTAAATCCAAATGAACATGTTACAGCAACTTCAGAAAAGACAAGCTCTAAATCTGAAGATTTGCAGAAAACATGGGATGGGAGGTTGTCTCTGAAGGAAGGTCAGTTGAACCTCCTTGCACCCAGGAATTTAACTGAAGATGAAGTCTCTTCGACAACTCCTTCAGAAGGGTTTTCAGCTGAAGTAATTAAAGTTTTAGAATTATTGAGTCATTTAGGTGAAAGATTGGGAGCATTACAGAGCTCTGTGAAGTTACTACATGAGAAGGCATTAAAGCTGAAGTCAAATGGTCTGGACACAATGAAAATTTTTGATGAAATAGATAACAAAATTCTTTTACATATGGCAGCAGATAAATTAAGAAATGCACTTCAGGGTGACAAACTAAACCTCATTCAGAAAATCATTACAAGTGAAACTGAGCAAAAACTAAGCCTTTTACTTGAAAAAGAAAAAGATCGATCTTTGCTCTATGATTTAAATGTTGATAGCATAGCTAATGCTTGTCTTGGAAAAAGTTCAGCTGAGACTACAACCTTTATTGAAAATGCTTTGATGTATCTTGGTCACACTGAAGTTCCTCAGGATCAGTTAATGAGAATTCACATGGCAGTTAAGACGGAACAAGCAAAGATATTTTCCCTTTCAAAGAATGTGCCTCAAGGTATAGATTGTGTAGTTAGTAAACCATTACAGATACCTGTGCCACCAGGAAAGCCAAGTCATCATGATGCAGTGCCAATATCACAACAATACACCTCTGTTCCACCTCCCTCTTTAGGATCTGCCACCTATTCTCAGTCTCACATAAGAAATTTATGTCTGCCTTATCCTGTTGCTCCTGGACAAGAAGCTGTCCCAAAACCTGTTCATACAATATCACAAGCTCCACCTCAACCTATTGCTAGTACATCACAAACTGCACCACACACTATTGCTTCTACACTACAAATGATACCTCAGCCTGTTCCTCCACCTGTCATTATGCCAGGAAGTCACACTTTTGGCTCTTCAACTCACACTGCAAGAACTGTAGTCAGTGACAAATTGTCATTAACTGATTTTCTTTCTTCAATATCAAGTTCCACTGTAATGAACAGTGTAAAACCATCTTAAGGTTTCTTAATTAGGTATTCCCAGTGTAGTTTTTTATCATCTATTTTTCTTCTTTTGACATTTTCCTCCAATATCTCATGTTAAGCCTCTTTGTATTAATTTGAAACTAAAATTTAATACTGTAGTTGAGTTTGAGCCCCAAAAAGTTAGGTTGCTATTAGCCCCTGGCAGCTATTTTCTATTTTGTTATTTGATATTTTTAGCTTTTCATTGTACTAACTTGAAACATACCATGTTTACTCATCACCATGAAATTGAGTTTCCCTTCTGTGGGAACCCACGTCGGCTCCCTGAAGCTGTCTTACTGATCAAGTGCCAAATTACGTGAGTGTCATCACTCAGAGTTCTTTGTATGCCTATCATGGGACCATGAGCCAGAACCTGGTCCCCTCAGAGAGGCACAGGGAGCAATGGTCTATGAACACTTTACATGTAAAGTACAATATTGTCATCTTGCCATCAACCAGGGAAGGCACCCAGAAAGGTAGGCGAATCAGAACAGAATACTGCCTTGGTGAAAAGTGTGACCTACATCCTCAAAAGTGCAAAAGAACTCTCTCATAAAGCAAACAAACAAGCAAAGCTTTGTCCAACTAACCCCCTCCCCTCCCATAAGCGCCCTCCCCCATCCTGGGCGTGAGTAGGTCGGGTCACCCCGAGTCAGTTCTTTGATACCGTGCCAAGTGGTCGCTGGTTGATTTGGGGTCTTCTGTTACGGACTGCCATCTCTTTTTTGGGCTGAGATTTACCACCTTCCTGGTTATTCCCTGTTTTCCTTCTCTGTGGGTTCTTCTCATGTCCTCCTTCGGGGAGCTGACGGGGCTTCCCACAGAAAACCAGCGTTGAATGTAATGGAACGCCAGTTTCTAGGTGAGTCCCGGAGGCCCCCCCTGGCACCCTCCCTCCCTCCCTCTGGTCGGTGGTTTTCATCATTCAAAGAACTGATTGGGGGTGGCCCAATTTACCCAGGCTGGCTCTTCCTCCCTCCTGAAGGGGAGGGATTGGCGCTAACCAGCGGGGGGGTTAGTCGGATGAAGTTTTTCTTGCTTGTTTTCTTTATGGGGGAATTCTTTTGTGCTTTTTAGGATGTAGGTTGTACGTTTCAACCAGGCAGTAGTCTGTATTGATTCGCCTACCTTTCTGGGTGCCTTCCTTGGTCAATGGCACGATGGCATACTTTACATGTAACGTGTTCATGTGCCATTGCTCCCTTCACCTCTCTGAGGGGACCAGGTCCTGGCTCATGGTCCTCAATAGGCATACAAAGAACTCTGTGACTGATGACATTCAAGTAGTAAGGCACTTGATTAGTAAGATGGCTTCAGGGGTACTCCGGGGTACACCCAGATACTAGCATTTCATGACATTCAATGCTGTTTTTTATTGAGCTGCCTAGTTCAATGCCAAAATTTTTGGTACATTTGTTTTTTCTATCTCTGTACAGTATGTGGAGAATGCCTCATTATACAGTATTTATTTTAAACTTAAAATATGGCAATGGTGATCGAAACTGATCTTAATCCGTGATATTTAGCAGTCTAGTCCAATGAAAGCTATTGCTTTTATGTATTAACTTGTTTACAGATGGAATGGGTGATTTGAACATTCATTCCTGAATCTAGAACTTTAATCGCCAGTTAGGGGGACAAAGCAATAAAAAACTGCCCACCATGTTCCCCCCCCCCCCCCCCTCCTCTCCTAAAAAAAACTTACTTGCACTATATCCACATAACTTATGTGTCCACAACCATTTAATACACTATACAGTACTGTACTGTACTATACTATGTATTATCTTCAAAAAACTTGGTCCAAATATTTATATCTTGATTATAATATTCTGAAACTGACATTCTTTCCTACTGTCCCCACGGGACACTTGGCCCTTGAATGAATGCTTGGTGAATCCGATACCATCGATGTTGCTCGCCTTTTGTCTTTTTCTTTTTTCTTGTATTTGAATCCTGGGTGATATTTAGCACCTTTTGAATATCCTGCAATACAGATGGTGCTACATAGTCTTCCTGGCTTGGCATCTTCTTTTAATAGTTGCAAGCTTAAAGCTGATATTACTCAATTAGTGAATTCATTATAAAACCTGAAATTCTTATACAGCACTACCTATTCTAATTATGCTACTGGATTCATTATACAGGTGGTCCTGTGATTTAGTGGTATTGAATTACACTTGTTCAGAGTTAAGTGGGTTTGCTCTTTTATACCAAGTTTAAGAATTATGTATGTGGAAAATTGATTAGTAAATATAATGTCCACTATTTCTCAGGTTATCTGTGTTCTGTGGCAGTGGGTCAGGCTTCCACACGTACATTTTACTCTCATTCTCTGAACTCATGCAGGTATTCATTAAATTAAATGTACAATCTTTCCCCCACATTCATTATAATACAGTACAGTACATAAACACATTATAGACAGCCCTTGATTTATGCAGAGATTATATTTTTGTAAAATCTATGTAATGTGAGACCTGCACAGCTGAAATTTAAAGGTTTACGGTACTGTATGAGGAAAATAGTGTTATATTTGAGACCTCAATGAACTGCCTTTTTCAATTCATGCTCAACAAAACACCTATGGGACTTGAAACATTATATAAAATACTCCCTCTGCTTTCTAGCCATAATACAGTACATGATGAAGTCCACAGTGCTTGAAGGTGCATTAATCCAAAAATATAATGCAACATTTTGTTAAACAAAAAAATGTTGTGTAGAGACTCAATGAAATGGAAACAATGAAGTAAACCCACAGATAACTTAATATAGTATGTGCTTGACCTGTATAACACAATTCTGAACTTTGTATGAAACTTAAATAGTTCATAACACTGATTGGTGTTTTCCAATATTTTGCAAACCAGGGGCTGCCTGTGTTGTATTTTAACTAATTGATTGTGTAGTACTCACTGAAGTCATTATATTCCAGATACTCATTTCACTCATTACACTTCCTGAACTCATTGCAGTACACTGCTCTGTGTGCCATATCCTGATATATGCCATCTTCAGGATTCCTCTCTTGATTGGTAATGATTACAATATATGTTATCTTCAAAATTTGATGCAGCTATGATTGGAGATCAAATATTTGACTATCTGACAACTTCTCTTAAAAAATTTATGTCACGATAGAACATAACTGCAAACTTCACATAAAGTTTTCTCGCCACTCTTGGCTAACCCAATAAACAAAATATCACCTGACTTTAAAGGATTACTGCAAACTAATCAATTAAAATTTATTTTTTATTCGAAGCTTAACTACAAAAATTGTGTTTTAAGTTTTAAAATACATAAGGTGATGGAAGGATCTGGAAATGCAGAATCTTGTTTAGCATCATCATTGAAACTGTAAGCCAGTGTAGTAAGCTCTTTCTAGAATATTGAAATAATCATGTACAGCAGCTGCATACTCTTGTATTCTGTTTGACTGCAACACCCAACAGCAATAATGTATTTTATATTACTGTACTGTATAATCTTTCATCTCTCCCATAATTAAAAAAGCTTTATTGATCAGAAAATCTGGGAGCCAGGACCATTTTAGTTCTCTACAAAGTCAACTTATATATATACTGTATATAAAAACAAATACTGTATATTGCACCAACAGATGATGGTGCACAAGGCATCATACTGATACACTTATTAATTGTTAGAAATGCACTACTATATTTTTCTTGTTAAATATTTTAAGTGCTGGTTATACAGTACAGTATGTTATTTTTGTATTTATCGTGGATACAAAGGAACGGTGTCCACCAGAGCTTTAATAATTTTCTTGTTCACACAAGTTAAAGTTGATATTTAAGCTTTTACCGTCATTCTATTATCTATTACTGTATTATCTCAATTTTATGTAATTGGAACATGGTGGCATTAGTAAGGCCTGTTAATTTTTCTGATACATTTTCTTTTGATAATTACTTGGTCCCGAGTATTTTGGATTAAAGACATCATTTATTAAGGAATGTGTTTTCTCTTGTTGAATGCTTCAACAATACAAAAACAGCTGTTTAAAGTTATTAAAAATCAGATCAATATTATAAAAATTAGTTAGGTTTTGTATGTGTCACGCAGAGTGCAGGGGGGAGGGGGAATACAGTTTGAACATAGTTCATATAATTACATACAGTACTCAGTATTTAAATAATTTGTCACAGCTATTCCTGGAATTATTTGTGGATTACATTAAGCAAAATTATACAGAAAATTTGTTTAACAGAATGAGGGCAGGAAAATTTGTGTGGGTTCCTTTTCTGGTCATTACACAGTTGTAATGACCACTAGGCCACTTCTTCAGTTTGATATACTGTACTTTTAAATCTTAAACTGATATTTATTTCTATTAATATTCAATGCATTTTGGTATTATAAAGCAATTTATAAATTGACCTCCATAACATTAGTCTTCATTCATATACAAAACTATTTTAGTTTCTTGCCTTTATACCATGTACAATGAAGTCTTTAATCCCCCTCCCCTCCACTGTCCTGAAATGTCTTTTCTTTGAAAATTTACACCAATTCACAAGCTGCTGCTATATTTATGGACAAGTTAAACTCTGCAGATGCCCATTAGCTTTATTACTCTATATTTTGCAATAGAACCTTAAGGTATTGCTTTCTGCCAGGTATGAATATTTTTACTATGGGTTTTACAAGATTTTATGGGAGATGAAAACAGTTACTTCTCGTGTATCAGTTATTGTTATTTTAAGCTCTTTCAGTGCTCATATGACCCCAGAGGCTTTTTTCAAACGTGTCTCACCCTTGATGATAGAAATCCAACATGCCTTGTTGGATGCCTTGTATCTCATTTTTAGTAGATATAAGGCAGTAGAGGTTTGCGGGGTTCTCAGCCATAGTGGTGTTGTCATCAATCACCTTGTTGAGACCACTTTAAAGAAGTTGTTTGTTCCTGTCCCATTTCCCAGAAGCAAGTTTCATAGATTTCTATCCTGTCTTTCATAGCATGTTCTAAATCCATTGGAGAGAGATGTGGTTAGCCATTGTAAAGACTGTCACAATAATGTGGATAGAAACAGTGCGTATTGTAACTCAACCAACACATGAAATGTAATTAAAGTGGTGACATTTTGGTCCATCTTGGACCCTTAGGAAGTCAAAATGGAGCAGCAGCATTATTTCATATGTGGATTGGGTTATTTGGTTAGCGATTACAAATAAAATACATAGTATACTATCAAGTGTGACCTAATATCATATCCTTCCTCCTGTCACTGAGGCAGACTGTGGGAAACATCTCTAGCTAGGTTACATATTTGTCACACAGGATTTACTCTTGGACACTTACTGGAACAGTAACCTGTATCCTACTTTCATAACAACAGTCATCTCCTTGTAGAATGCCCTGGTTTTCAGGGTTATCTTTTTGAGGTGATTTCGAGGCTTAGCGTCCCCGTGGCCCGGTCCTCGACCAGGCCTCCCTTTTGTCACACATCCCCAGGAAGCAGCCTGTAGCAGTTGTCTATCTTCCAGGTACCTATTTTACTGCTAGGTAACAGGGGCACCAGGGTGAAAGAAACTGCCCATTTGTTTCCGTCTCCACCAGGGATCGAACCTGGAACCTCAGAAAAAAATGACTTGCACTTCGGATTACGAATTCGAAGCGCTGTCCACTCAGCTGTTAGGCCCCTAGCAGAAAGTGATCAGATATTATAATTTCACGCTTCTTAAAAATTATATGTTCCTCGATAAAATCTTCTGTGAATCCGACTTCACTGACAAAGCTCATCTTTTATCAGTGTGCTCTTGTCTTGGCATCCTGAGTGATATCTGAGTACCATTATACATGTATCACTAATGCGAACAAGCCTGAACGGTCTCCAGGCATATATGCAACTGAATTATAGTTATGTATCACTAAATAACATTTTCTTAAGACTGCTGTAATAATATCTTATCAGCATTCATGCACAGAAATTGTAATTTCTTATAAAATAATAACTACATTGATAGAACTTTATAAGGGAAGATGTATAGATATTTGTATTAAAATCCCCAGAAAGTAATGATCCATTGTGAATAATATTGCAAAGTCAAAAAAATTTTATTGCTTAAATTCTTAGCACAAGAGGCACTTACTTTAAATGCTGCCATTATTACATACTGAACTGGGGAAAATCTGAATCCATTGTCATAATTATACAAATACTGTTCTTAACACACTATTATTTTTGTATCATTGCATTATTTGGTATTAATGTGTTAAACTGTATATATGTCAATAAGTGCGAAGAGTTTGAATTCTGTAGAGAGTAGTGACGAGTATTCAAGACATAATTTTTTTGTTAAGTATATTGTACAGTAATACATAAGACAATTGTTTTCTACCTCCTGCACCTAGCTCCAGTTGGTGTGATATATTTTATATGTAAAGATAAAATTGGGTACAGTTTTCAGAGTGATTACTGTGCTGGACTAGCAGTCCAAGGGTCTTGTAGCCAAACTGGTTTGTTGTGAAAATCCAACTGGTTCACATCGCCTAGAGATGGTCTTTCTTTCTCAGTCGGCAATCATCAATCCAGCACCATGAAAGGGTTGAACTTTAAATTCTTCTGTTCCCTCCATTGTGAAGGAACTTGTCTATGCTTGGAACCTGCTCCAAGAGAAGAGTAGTAGAGTTTGATAGCACATTATATAATGTATCATACTTAAAAAAAATTCATTGCATTGATCTTTCACTTTTGTATAGAACTTGCAAACATGTAATTGTATTGTACTATATTTGTTTCTGAAAAAAATATGCACTTTCATATTAAAAGTTATGTTTTTGGCTGAGTAAAATTAATAACATTCTTATGGAAACTGAATTTCACAATGCATGGTTTCCCTATCCATATGTCCATAGTATATTTTCAGTATGGGAAAAGAAAAAATTGATATCTTGTAAGATGAACCTTTTAGGCTTTATTCACCAAGTCCTTGAACTTGGCCATTTGCCAACAATTTAATCGTGCAGTTCAGTTCAATACTCGCCAAAGTATTTTATTGGTAAGAGCATAGTCTACAGTAAATAAAATAACAAAGCTAAAACTTTTTATTGTGAAAACATTTCGGAAATGAGACAATTGTACATTTTGCACATAGTTATAAATAGTTATGGCTGTAAGACAAAACTGAAGTTGCTGACATAATGATGTAAGTAAAAAGATGTGTGCAGGAGTTTAATGTTGTGATACATTAACCTTCTCTTAGTTTCATGTACAGTGTAGTACATATTTTAATTTTTCTAATATAGAATAGCATCATTCCATGACCTGAAGGGTGTAAACACATATTATGTATGTATACAGTACATATGTAGTTTAATTAATTGTCGCTACAGATATTATAAAATGTTAATTTGTTGAATTTTTTGTTAATTATATAAGTTAAACCTCTGGTGATTAAATTTACTATACTGTACTTCATGTATTAATGTTTTTTTTATCAAAGCCAATTATATCCATTGCAATTATTCTACACTTCTGAATAAAAAGTTTTTAACCATGAGTAATTTTTTTTTATCTGCTAATCAGTTGTTAGAATTTTTTGTTTGACTATAAATGTAATGAAGAGCACTTGCATATGTATTATAATAAATTGTTTATTCTGAAGAAGGAAGGTTGTTCATTTACCTCAGTGATGATGGGTGAGCTGCATACTTTTGATACAAATTATTGAGAGGTTAGCTTTGTCCTGTTAAGTTCATCTTTAGTTCCAATGTTCAGTAGTTTTTAGGATGTTGCAGTGGGTGTGAGGTATACAAATGATAATTTAAGAGGCTTCTTGCACATTAAAAATCAGGAAATATGTCATGCATTGTTACATACAATAGCAAGAGTTTACAATATACTTAGGGCATACTTGGCCCTCTCCTCTTTCTCATCTACATTAATGACCTTCCAAATGCCTCCCAACACCTCAAACCAATTCTATTTTCTGACGACACAACCTACATTTACTCCAGTCCTGACCCCCTTGCTCTAAATGCCACAGTAAATACTGAGCTAAATAAAGTCCATCGCTGGCTAACTGCCAACAAACTCACCCTTAACAGTGACAAAACTTTCTATATTCTGTTTGGCAATAAATCCTCTAATCAAATAAATCTCAGGATAAACAATACCCAAATTTGTAACAAAATAGATGGCAAATTCCTTGGCATTCTCATTGACCACAAGCTGAATTTCCAGGGACACATTCTAAATATATCAAAGTTTCAAAAACTTTTGGCATTCTTTCTAAGATCAGATATTATGTACCTCGCCCTGCCCTGGTGAGTAACTATTACTCCCTCATCTATCCATATCTCAACTATGGTATTTGTGCTTGGGGTTCTACTACCCAAAATCATTTACGTCCTCTAATTACTCAACACAAAGCTGCTATTAGGACAATATCAAACTCTGGCCCCAGACATCACTCGGTACCCCCTACTCAAATCTCTGAATATGTTAGATATTAAGTCACTGCACATTCTCTCATGTGTATTATACATATATAAAATGCTGAACTGTAATGCCAATCCTGACCTCAAAAACTTCATTGAAGGTTGTAACAGAACCCATGAGCACCACACCAAACAAATACTGTTTTGATATTCCAAGAGTACGACTTAAACTAGAAATGCTCTACAAATCAAGGTACCCAGAATGTGGAATGACCTGCCCAATGTGGACTGCTGCAATCAAAACGGTGAAGAGTAGGAGAAGCAGGGCAACCATAATCGAGTTTAGACAGTATGAGAGAGGAAAGCAAAGAGAGGAGCATGCGCCTATCTGCTCCCCAAGAAGTATGTGACAGAACCTTAAGTAGGTTAAGGACCTTAGAACATTCAACACAGAGGTAAGAGATATGGGGCGACCAAGACAAACGAGTGTCAAAGATTAACCCCAAAAGCTTAGCGGAATCCCTGTACATAAGGGGATGACCATAAAGTGACATAGAGGGACGAAGAATGACATGCTTCCGACTAAAAGTCATAACGCAAGTCTTAGACGTAGAGAACTTGAAGCCATGATCGGTGGCCCCAAGACGACATGGCATCAAACGCAAGTTGAAGCCGCCGTTGAAGGAGAGGCGAATCATCACCCTGACAGCAAAGGATAAGATCGTCAACGTAGAGAGCGGAGAAGACACCAGAAGGAAGAGAGGACAGAAGACCTTTGAAGGCAACTAGAAAAAGAGTAGTGCTCAGAATACTACCCTGAGGCACACCCTCATACTGCCTAAAAGGGGCAGAGAGAGGGGTACCAACCCGCACACAAAAGGAACGACGAGAGAGGAAACTCTGGAGGAAGAGAGGGAGATTCCCACGAAGGCCAAAAGAGTGAAGTTGAGACAGAATATGATACCGCCAGGTAGTGTCGTAAGCCTTTTCCAGGTCAAAAAGGACGGCAACAACGGAGGTCTTCGCAGCAAAAGCAGTACGAATATAGACCTCCAAGTTCACCAGGACATCCGTTGTGCTGCGGCACTTGCGAAAACCAAATTGAGAAGGGGAGAGGGGGTGATAGTGTTCTAAGAACCACATCAAACGAACATTAACTATACGTTCAAAGAACTTGCAGACACAACTCGTGAGGGTAATAGGGCGGAAGTCCTTGGGGGATGACCCGAGAGACCCTGGTTTCCGAACAGGGAGGACAACAGCATCGAGCCAGTCCTAAGGGACTGACGACGACTCCCAGACCTGATTGTACAGACTCGGTAAATACTGAGACGTGCACGGAGGGAGATGGCTAAGCATTTCATAATGAATGCCATCTGAGCCTGCCGCCGTAGAACCGCAGAGGGCTAGGGAAGACTGAAGCTCAGAGAGAGAGAAGGGATCATTATAGGGAAGGCGAAGATGAGTACAGAAATCTAAAGGACAAGATTCAAGAATAGGGTTACGAAGAAAGAAGGATTGGGGAAGATGAGAACCAGAACTAACAGATGAAAAGTGGAAACCCAGTTTGGTGGTGACCTGCAATGGGTCCACCACAAGAGCACCACGGAGGCGAAGGACTGGCGAGACATCGAGAACGAACTTACCGGCTATCTTGCGGATACGTTTCTAGACCAGCGACAGAGGAGTTTCGGACGTAACGGTAGAGACGAAAGACAACCAGCATGTACGTTTAGCCGCACGGATGGTCCTACGGGCCACTGCACTCGCCTTCCGAAACAAAAGAAAAGAATCAACCGTCTGCCAGTGGCGATGTCTCTTCCAGGCTGCACGCTTACAGCGGACAGCCCGAGCACAGTCCACATTCCACCAAGGAACGCACCTCCGCATTCCCTGAGAGGAAGAGCGAGGAATAGAGAGGTAGCTGAGGAAATTTCTTCAGGGGAGTTGGAGGCAGTACAGAATGCCCCTTGCTCAAAAATTAAGAAAATGAGTGCAGCATGGGAAGAACTGCAACTTTTGCTGAAACGACTCACCCTAATCAAGCTGCAGTAGTGCAGTAGTGTCAAGCTGTGTGGTGCCCCTTCCAAACAGTTACACCTCTCCTCCCCCCCCCCCCTCATCACCATCTTCCATACACCAAGAGTCCTCCATAAAAGTAAGATAAACATATGTACTGTATTGTAGTTAGAGAAAAAATTGTATTCAGTATAAAATGTATTTGTAAGTTAATATTTTGAGGGGTGGGGAACGGATTAATTCAATTCCCTTTACTTCTTATGGGAAAAATAGTTTTGACTTACGTTATTTCGACTTATGATAAGTCTCTGAGAACAGATTACCATCGTAAATCGAGGCCCCACTGTATTTGAAATTTGCAAATTATGGGGAAATAAGGATATAATAATCCTTTTTAAGTCACATTATAACAATCTCAAATATATCATCTCTCTACTGCAGTTGCATCAAGTTTTGAAATTAAATGGTTGTACACTGTTCATTACAGTCACACTTGATATGGAAGAAAGAAATTTTTTAAATGACATTTTCTCTCTCGTTACAGCTTTTTCAGTACATGCTGAAAGGTCAAAAGTGTGATTACCTTGCATAACAGGTAAAGACTGAGGTACCATTTGGGTTGTAACTTGTGGAATATTACAGGCATGGTGTGGTGCAGTAGACCTATGGTGTGGTGCAGTAGACCTATGGTGTGGTGCAGTAGACCTATGGTGTGGTGTGGCTTGTGGTGCAGTAGACCTATGGTGTGGTGCAGCTTGTGGTGCAGTAGACACACTGTGTGGTGCAGCAGACACACTGTGTGATGCAGCCTGTGGTGCAGTAGACATACAGTGTGGTGCGGTTTGTGGTGCAGTAGACACATGGTGTGGTGCAGCTTGTGGTGCAGTAGACACACTGTGTGGTGCAGCTTGTGGTGCAGTAGACATACAGTGTGGTGCGGTTTGTGGTGCAGTAGACATACGGTGTGGTGCGGTTTGTGGTGCAGTAGACACATGGTGTGGTGCAGCTTGTGGTGCAGTAGACACACTGTGTGGTGCAGCTTGTGGTGCAGTAGACACACGGTGTGGTGCAGCTTGTGGTGCAGTAGACACACGGTGTGGTGCAGTAGACACACTGTGTGGTGCAGTAGACACACTGTGTGGTGCAGCAGACACACTGTGTGGTGCAGCAGACACACTGTGTGGTGCAGCTTGTGGTGCAGTAGACACACTGTGTGGTGCAGCTTGTGGTGCAGTAGACACACTGTGTGATGCAGCCTGTGGTGCAGTAGACATACGGTGTGGTGCGGTTTGTGGTGCAGTAGACACATGGTGTGGTGCAGTAGACACACGGTGTGGTGCAGCTTGTGGTGCAGTAGACACACGGTGTGGTGCAGCTTGTGGTGCAGTAGACACACGGTGTGGTGCAGCTTGGGTAGTAGACAAACACTGTTGTGCAATAGTGGCATAGTGATGTGCAGTTTGTAGTGCATTTGGGGCACAATGGGGTGGAGCTTTTGGTGTATTAGCGGTATGGTGTGGTACAGTGTGTGGTGTGTTCGAACCATGTTGTGCTGTAGTGTGTAGTGTAATAGAAGCAGGTAGAACAGAGGTGTGAGATGAAATGCTTATATAAGGAGAAAATGAGGCCGACTCTAAACAAAGAAGTTGACTGGAGGAGTGTGAAGCAGAGCTGCAGTGCTGTGATGTTGGCACTTCTTCATCATGACTTTGCTTTTCTGGTTGTACAGCTAACTGTAATGGTCTACTAATCCCACTATCTCTATTTTGAGGAATATTTTTTGAAAGACCCAATATCACCGCTTGTTCTACCTTAACTGCCATGTGAATCTTCAATAACTGATCTTGAGAAACCTGTGTATGACCATGATACAATAATACATTTTCAATAAAAGTTGTAATTTCATTAGAACTTTTTCCAAGACAAGCACTAGCTATGCTATCAATCTTTAAATCACAAAATTTAAAGTCATCATTTATCTTTTCAAGGAGAATGCCTAGTCTTTGCTCAGCTTCCTGGATGACAACTTTCTCAATTATATTCAGTGTGCTATCTTTTGTTGCCTTACTTAATTTGTCCTCTATCATGTGTAACAGAACTTTGTCATAAACTGAAGAAAAAATATTCATTATATCCTGCCCATTTGACTTCACTTTCAGTGCATTCTCATGCAATAACTTCACAGGTATCAGCAGAGCACCTAACCTATGCCCTAAATGACTCAACGTTTCAAAAAGACAAATTACCTCATCAGTAAAACCTTCTGAAAGAGATGGGGAAGACACTTTCTCTTCTGACAACTCACTGGTTGAATCAAACATCAGTTTATTATTCTTTGGAAAACTTGTACAATATTTGTTTGGTAAATCCTGTAAATCAGAGCTTGTATTTTTTGTGAGCTGAACATCCAATGCATTTCTTTTGTAAGTTTCTGCCATAACAATATGTTTCTCAGAAGACTGCTTAGGTTTGTTTGATATGCAAGAAAACATTGGTTCAGTTGTAGATGAAGTGGCTGCCTTACTTGCAACATGATCAACTGGATTCACAGGTTCAGTTACAAGCTGTAGAAGTTCATCAATGAAACCTTCCATCTTTTCCATACCCAACTTTTCCTTAGTATCCTTTACATGCTTTAATCTTTGGTTAGCAACACCACTACTTTCCTTCTCTCCAGTGAGATCATTATCCCAAGATGTCTCACTTGATGAACATTTGGGACTCTGGAAGTAGTCATCTCTCCTTCCCTTTTTTATAAGGTCACCGAGTTTGGCATCCCTCTTCTCTTCTTGAACTTCCTTGTCTTCATAACAACTGGATGAATCTTTATCTCTATCACTTGTATCCTTTCTCTTTTTCCTTATTTTCTTGGCCTTTTTTCTATCCCTTTCTATAGATATCAAGCAGGTATCTGTACTTGATGATCTACGATGTTTATTTAACTTTCTAATAGTTTTATATTTATAAATGCTGGCATCTGATGATCTGTCTGAAGACATAGAGATACTAGAAGGAGAAGGGGAACAAGATAAAATCTTATTGACGGGCAGCATTGATACACATTCGTCTCTCTTGATTGTCCAACATTCATTAAATATAGTTTCCAAACGAGACTGCCAAAATATTGTCCATTCTTTTGTCATATCATATGTATTTGGATCACCTCCAATTGAAAGAATTTTTGCTTTTTTCTTGTCAACAAATGCATGATATTCTTTAGTGAAATCTGGATGAGCAATTGGGTTTTTTCTATACATTTCACACTCCCGGTCATGAACTTCACGCAGAGACTGTAATGCACGCATAATAACAGAATCATTTGAACCACACTTTCCAATTTTCTCTCTCCTTGAACCATACTTTTCTCTTCTTTCTCTTCTTGAATTGGAGCCAGAGATGGACCGTGATCTTGACCGTGATCTTGACCGTGACCTGCAAATAAACACAATCTATAGATTAGTGCACACTTGAAAATAGTTTGTCAAATAATAAAGTTTCAGTAACAAGCAGGAAAATGCCACTATACATGTGCAAATGATTATATGTATATTGTTGAATATGACCAAAAAAGTAAGATTAATAATTCTAACACAAATTTTCTCAATATTTCTTATGTTTTTCTTTACTGTCGGTGGTAATGAAAATATCATTTCTCCAAAATTCATTTTTATTAATGGTCTGACACTAAGAAGCACTTTGTAAGGACTTCTTACATTCTCAAAGACTTCTTTACACTTAACACTACACTTATGATACACTTGATACACTGTGTATGATACACTTGATACACTGTGTATGATACATTTGGCATAACTCTTCCTTTTTATTGGTTTTGGGTGAAGCGGGTATTGGGTGAGGTGGGTACATGAGAATGGAAGTAACTGCAGAGGGCCTATTGGCCCATACGGTGCCTTGAAGTGGGTAGAATATAGTTGTGCATTAATTGGCTGTTGATTGCTGGTGTTACACCAGCAATCAACTGCAGTGCAGAGCTGCAGTGCTGTGATGTTGGCACTTCTTCATCATAACCTTGCTTTTCTGGAATACTGTATTTATTTGTGATGAAGAACATCATCTTCGCCATAATTACCCCTTCCCCTGTCCCCTCGTCCTCCCAACCATCCCACACTCCCATCCCCTTGTTCTCCCCACTCCCTTGTCCAATGCATTCCCAAATGATCTAATGTTCCCATCAGAAAATTGGGAACATCAAATGATCTGATGTTCCCATCACTGAAATATAAGAAAAACAGTTAAGAACACGAAATGAAAAACAATGAAAAATAAAAAAATAAACTATACTCACAAAATGAACAGTTTGGTAAAAACACCTCAATTCCAATGCAATGTCACAAAATAGTTAACCCTTTAACTTCGCGGCCTATAAATATGACACCCCCTCAGTGCGCAGGAAATAAATTCTCTTGAAAAAATTCTTTTGTTTTTTTAAAGTGTCAAAAACCCTTCCCCCAGTATGGATATGTCAAAAAAATTTTGAACTTGTACTTACTTTGGCTGCTATGGGGTCCGTAAGTAGGTGCGTGACGTCATCATTCCCCGTCCACCCGTGCAGTAAGCTCCCGGGCCGGTGGGGCGCCCTGTGCGGGGCACGCGAGTTGCCGCGAATATATTTTTGTTCATTTTTTGCGCACAGTTCCAAATACATTTTATTTGTTTTTACGTGCTAATCCTATGTATAATGAACACGTACACTATATTATGGCAGTAAAACATCCGTACTGTCCGAAGACACTGTGTTACGTGCATGACACTTGTGTACACATATGTTGCACATATTTACCATGTATCATGCTAATTTATGTATATATACAATCTATTTACAGACTATACACTGTCACACACTATATACATTCACCATCAACACATTCAGAACACCGCGAGTGTGAGCATCCACACTCAGCCAGCCCTCCCTCACTCCTCCAACATCTTACTCGCCAACATTGCTCCTCCAAATCATAGAGTTATCCGGACGCAACACATGATGAACCCCCAGCCTGACAAACCAAGCATCAACAACCCAAGGACTCTCCGAAAAGCAGCAGTCTCATTCTACGCCAGAAAAGAGGGAGACGGCTGTAGACGGACATACCTATGACCACGACCAAAGGAGCAAAAACCTCTGCGCCGGAGAAGAGCATGAATAGTTACGGTATTCCTATCAGCCATGGATAGATCCGGGGAGCCTCCAGGACTCACCCAGAAAATGGCATTTCATTACATTCAACGCTGTTTTGTTTTTTTTAAACAGCGCCATCTGTTAAACGGAGGAGCAACACACGTTATACTATATATTTTACGATTCTATTTCAATGTTTTCGATTTCATTGATAATTTGAATTTTATAGATTTTGATTTATTTTCATTTTGATTCAACTATTTTGTGACATTGCATTGTTCTGCTTTGTGTCTGGAGAGTTTCTCTCATGAGTAGGTTAACCTACTCATGAGAAACTCTCCAGACACAAAGCAGAATGCTTTGAAAGAGACCAATGTCGTCTATGCCTTCAAATGCCCACTTTGGGACTGTAAGCCTCAAAGAACTCAGTATATAGGCAAGACAACAACATCTCTCTCCAGGCGATTAACGATGCATAAGCAACAGGGCTCCATTAAGGAACATATAATCTCTTCCCACAACCAGACCATCACCAGAGAAGTCTTAACAAAAAACACAGAAATCATCGATAGATACAGCGATAGCAGACGGCTTGATATCTGCGAGGCACTACACATTAAGAAGTCAACACCAGCAATCAACAGCCAATTAATGCACAACTATATTCTACCCACTTCAAGACTCAGCACCAATATAGAAGCATCAAGAAATATGGGCCAATAGGCCCTCTGCTGTTACTTCCATTCTTCCCTTCAACTTACAAAATATTATACCCATTGTTTCGTGTTCTGTCTTGTGTTGAAAGTTTGTTTTCACCTCATCCATAACTGTTGTAACATATCACCTCACCTAAATGCAGGTATAAAATCAAAGCTGTTTGAACTCTGTTCAGTTATAGTTGTGTGTGTGTAAACTAGTCTTTGAAAATGTAATAAGTTATTACGAAACGCGTTCAAGTGTCGCGTCAGACTAGAAATAAAAATGAATTTTGGAGAATTGATTTTTCAGTTACCATCAACAGTGAAAAGAAATATAAGAAACATCGAGAAAATTCGTGTTAGAATTATTAATCTTACTTTTTCGGTCATATTTAATAATATATGTCTACAGGAAAGACTGCTACCAAAATATACTAATATATACAGTATATATATATATATGTATGTATGAATGAAAGATAGAGAAAGTGAAAAGCAGGAGCCCAAATAGAAAGAGGAGGCAGAGAAAGGGGTTGTGACTATGGAACAAATCAACAGGTCAAACTCTAGACATAAATGCCTTCACCTAATGGAACTATATTCTTAAAATTATGCAAAAAGTCATATACAGCATATTACACAAGTGTAAACTATATTACATTCATACCTTCTACAATGTAAATCAAATACAGGCGAGTGCATCTCTCTCTTCCACTTGCTGTGATGGCTATGTAGGCTCAAATGTTTATTGCTGGCATGGTTCCTGAAGTGAGGTTCTAGGTGACTTACTGGACTGAAACTTCTCTTTGGCCTCTCTCTCCATGTTTCATCTCTATATATAAAGTTCTTTTTAATGGGAGAGCAAGATCTCTCCCATCTTTTCCTTTCTGGACTAGGGCTATATTCTCTCTTAGGGCTATGTTCTCTTTTGGGGCTATATTCTCTCATGAAAGTATTTTCTCTCTTGGGGCTGTATTCTCTCTTGGGGCTATATTCCCTCATGGGAGTATATTCTCTCTTGGGGCTATATTCTCTCATGGGAGTATATTCTCTCTTGGGGCTATATTCTCTCATGGGAGTATATTTTCTCTTGGGGCTATGTTCTCTCTTGGGGCTTTCTCTCATGAGAGTATTTTCTCTCTTGGGGCTATATTCTCTCATGGGAGTATATTCTCTCTTGGGGCTATATTCCCTCATGGGAGTATATTCTCTTTTGGGGCTATATTCTCTTATGGGAGTATATTCTCTCTTGGGGCTATATTCCCTCATGGGAGTATATTCTCTCTTGGGGCTATATTCTCTCATGGGAGTATATTCTCTCTTGGGGCTATATTTCCTCATGGGAGTATATTCTCTCTTGGGGCTATATTCTCTCGTGGGAGTATATTCTCTCTTTGAATGACATATTTTTTTAATGCTACATTTTTTGTTTAGACTATATCCTGGATTTGGACAATATTCTCCCATTGAACTATAGGCTCTGATTGGACTATAACTTCCGCAAAACCCATCACTACTTTTGATTGGACCAAAATATATTGCTGGCTCTAGATCAAGAGGGCTACATTTGGAATTTCTGAAGGAATTGTTTGAGTTATTTACTCTGTAATATTCTGCCCACTTGCTCTTCATAACTGAACCTGACAAATCAAAACTGAAGTTTTCCAAAAAGGTAGATAAATCAGGCTGGCGCATACAAAGCTGCTTGTTAAATTCAACTTCATCATTTATATCCATAAAACTTAACTTTGGAGAACAGACATACTGAGAAGTCTTAGCAAACTTCACACAAGCTTCAGCTATCCTCCTTGCTACAACTGAAGTTGGATGGAAACCATCAATCAAAGGAATATTACCTTCTGGCAGGTCAATACCACACACCAAACTGTTAAAGTCCCAGACAGGCAACTGTTTCACTTCAGCAAGTGTAAATGCAATCCTGTTAATTCCTAATATAAACTGCCCAATCCTGTTTAATTTTTCCTTTATTTCCATGGATTGTGAAGGAATTGTTACAATGTGTCCGGTTTCTTCAGCGTGTCTCTTGACCAAGTAGTTCTGTAAGGTCAGAAAATCAAATGGATAAATGGTTGTGATTATTACATCACAGTTAGTCGTTACTTTACGGAGAAGTTCGTCAACGCTCTTCAGTGAGTTAACAAAGTCATTCCAGAGTTTATCACTAGAGTCCAAATTCTCTAAACATAATGAGGGTAATTCCAATTTCATCTTATGGGAGTCACACCCATCTTCTGCAACAAAGTTTATAATATCATACATGCCTAAACTAAGAACTATAAGTGCATCCTTCTTGCCTGAAATTTCCTTCACAATGGGGTTGTCTTCAGTCAAAGCTCGGAAGGACAACTTGCACTGTGTAAATATAGTGACCATCTCTCCATCCTTTATAGGCCACACTTTTTCCACTTTTTGTAATCTGGAATCACCAATAAGCACAACTTCCTGGTACCTGTTCATATGATACTGCTTAATGGTATATTTTAGCATGGGAATCATATAATTTTCTGTTGCATCTCTTGATGGGTTCAGCCCATCCTCCAGAAATTTGCCAGGATTAGAGGGTAAAAGATTCCAGGGAATTTCTTTCCCATCTCCTCTCACACTTAATTTTGAAACTCTGGAGTTAAATATATTCAACTCGTTATTAACTAGCTTTTCTAAGTTCTTACAATATGTTGCCTGATCTAACAGAACATCAGGACAGTGTCCATTAGCTTTTTCATATGTTCCAACCTGATATAAATTTATCTTTGATGTATTTAATGGCAAAACATTTGTAAAGTAGACTTCTGATTTTTCACCCAATATTTCACGTAAACTCTTACACATATTCATGATATTATTAGCAATGGTTTTGCCTATATATTGATTTGGAAAACAAATGTGTTGAATCTTTATAGGATTATGCATTTGCTGGGAGGTTAAATTATTACCAAATTGGATGATATCATATATACCAACACTACAAATAAGCAGGATTCCTCGAGGGCAAATGCTTTTATCAACATTATGCTTAACAGCTTTTTCCAGATTATCAAAGGTCAAGTCTGGCACACACTTGATCTCCAGAGGGCCAAATGTGCTCTTCATCCCGACATCTTCTAATGGCTTGATGCGAGAATCTCCAATTATAACCACCTTGCTAAACCTGTACATGCATGGCTCGCCAATTACCTGTAAATAAAAATACGATTAATATAGGCATTTTGAAATAGAAATTTTGAAAAAGGGATAGCGGACAAATGTAAAACAGAACCAGGCCTAGTCTACAAATTTATAAACAACAAATTGCAGGTAAAGGATAATATCCAGAGGTTGAAAATGGAAAACAGATTCATGTAAAATGAAAAGGAACTGTGTGAAACATTAAAAGAAAATTTCCAAAGTTTGTACAAAATGAAATCTTCAGAGAACCAGACATAATCAGAATTCCAGAGAACAACATAGAGCACATAGAGGTGTCTAGAGACAAAGTGGAAAATATAGTGGCACCTTGACTTACGACTGCCTCGACTTACGATAATTTCGAGTCACGATATAAATTTCATAAAAAAATGCAACTCGACATACGATGGTGTCGTCGATTAACGATATTTGTTGGTACACGTTCGGGTCGCCCGAGAGCGTGGTTCCCGGTCACATGAGCCAACCTGCCTCAGTTTACTACAGCTGCCCGCTTAGTGACGATCACGCCTATAAGAAATTCCGTTTTTGTGGTGATTTTTTGCTTTTTGAACATAAAAGTAACTATTATATATCACACCATGGGTCCCAAGAAAGTCAGTGGTAAGGTTCAACATATGAAAACCCATGTATGAATCACCATAGAGCAAAAACAAGAAATCATTCGTAAATATGAAGATGGTGTGTAGGTTGTTCAACTAGCTAGGCAGTACAACAAATCTCAGTCAACGGTATCCACCATACTGGCTAAGAAAAAGGACATTATGAGTACTAAAGTAGCAAGAGGCGTATCAATAATCACGAAACATAGAACACAAACACTTGAGGAAGTTGAACAGTTGTTATTAATTTGGATGACTATGTATGTAGTGAAGACTATAGTATAGACTACGGGAAGAAATGCAAACTTTTGATGAAACAATTCACCTAGAGCAAGTTGTAGTAGGCCGTTGCCTTCACCTATTCAATGACACTGTGATGCATCACTATAGACAAATGTTAAAACAAAGGGAAAAACAAGTGTCTCTTGACAAATTTTTAATGAGACAAACAAGCAGTGAACCACAACCAGGTCCTAGTGGTATGCACACAAAACGTAGGAGAGAGTGTACCCCAGAGAAAACATCTCTGCCTGATGTGATAATGGAAGTTGACTCCCCTTCTAAACAGTAACACCTCTCCTCCTCCCCCCCCCCTCATCACCATCTTCCATAAGCCATCAAGGGTCCTCCATAAAGGTAAGATACACGTATGTACTGTATTGTAGTTAGAAAAAATAATTGTATTCAGTATAAAATGTATTTGTAAGTTAATATTTTGGAGGGTGGGGAATGAATTAATTCAATTCCCTTTATTTCTTATGGGAAAAATTGCTTCGACTTACGATATTTCGACTTACGATCCGTCTCTGGGAACGGATTAGCATCGTAAGTCGAGGCCCCATTGTATGCTCAAGGAGCTAAGTAAGAACAAAGCAGTTGGCCCAGATAGAGTTTCACCATGGGTTCTGAGAGAATGTGCATCTGAGCTCAGCATTCCACTTCACCTGATTTTTCAGGCATCCCTGTGTACAGGAGTCACAGCAGACGAGTGGAAAAAGGATAACATAGTTCCAATCTACAAAAGTGGTGGCAGTGAAGACCCCTGAATTATAGACCTGTATTGTTGACAAGTGTAATAGTTAAAATGTTGGAAAAATAATTAAAACTAAATAGGTAGAACACCTGGAGACAAACAATATAATATCAGATCGTCAGTATGGTTTTCGATCTGGAAGATCCTGTGTAACAAATTTACTCAAGTTTCTATGATCGAGCCACAAAGATTTTACAGGAAAGGGACGGTTGGGTTGACTTCATCTATCTGGACCTAAAAAAGGCTTTCGATAGAGTTCCACATAAGAGGTTGTTCTGGAAACTGGAGCACATTGGAGGGGTGACAGATAAGCTGCCAACATAGATGAAAGATTTTCTGATAGAAAAATGAGGGCAGTAATAAAAGGAAGGGTATCGGACTGGAGAAATGTCACATGCGGAGTACCACAGGGTTTAGTTCTTGCACCGGTGATGTTCATTGTCTACATAAACGATCTACCAGATGGAATAAAAAATTATATGAACATGTTTGCTGATGATGCTAAGATAATAGGGAAGATAAGAGACTTAGATGATTTTCATGCCCTTCAAGAAGACCTGGACAGAATAAGTATATGGAGTACAACTTGGCAAATGGAATTTAATGTAAATAAATGCCATGTTATGGAATGTGGAATAGGAGAACATAGACCCCACACAACCTGTAAATTACGTGAGAAATCTTTAAAGAAGTAAGATAAAGAAAGAGATCTATGGGTAGTTCTAGATAGAAAACTATCACCTGAGGATCACATTAAGAACATTGTGCAAGAGGCCTATGCTACACTTTCTAACTTCAGAATAGTTTTTAAATATATGGATGGAGAAATACTAAAGAAATTATTCACGACTTTTGTTAGACCAAAGCTGGAATATAGAGTGGTTGTATGGTACCCATATCTTAAGAAGCACATCAACAAACTGGAAACGGTGCAAAGACATGCCACTAAGTGGCTCCCAGAACTGAAGGACAAGAGCTACGAAGATAGGTTAGAGGCATTAAATATGCAAAAACTATAAGACAGAAGAAAAAGGGGTGATATGATCACTATATACAAAATAGTAACAGGAATTGATAAAATTGATAGGGAAGATTTCCCGAGACCTGGAACTTCAAGAACAAGAGGTCATAAATTTAAACTAAACACACATGGCAAAGAAATATAAAAAAATTCACTTTCGCAAACAGAGTGGTAGACAGTTGGAACAAGTTAGGTGGGAAGATGGTGGAAGCCAAGACCGTCAGAAGTTTCAAAGCGTTAAATGACAAAGAGTGCTGGGAAGACGGGACACCACAAACGTAGCTCCCATCCTGTAACTACACTTAGGTAATTACACACAAGAGTTCTTACATTCTTGTACAGCCACTAGCATGCATAGCATTTCGGGCAAGTCCTTAATCTCAAGTCCTTTGCCCGAAACGCTGCTCATACTAGTGGCTTTACAAGATTGTAATTACTATCCTATGTATCCTCACAATCCCAATGTACCTTCTTGTATATAAATAAATAAATAAATAAATAAATAAATCTTAATATTCCCCAAAATATGACCCGCCAAATCGTTTAACAACCAGATACCCATTTTTCTGTTGGGTAAACAGAGGCTACAGTTAAGGATTGGCACCCAGTAAATCCTCCCTGCCAGGATTCAAACCCAGGCCAAAAGCTTGCAAAGTGCCATGCCAGACGAGTGTCTTACCACTACGCCAAGGGGACTGCATTTGGATTATTGTTCCCAAGCATGGTGACCTCATCTTCAGAAGGACATAGCTGCTCTGGAAAAAGTGCTACACCGGGCAACAAAAATCAAGTCAACTATTGTATCAGGAACGGTTGAGGGACCACAGGGCTAACACTGCAAAAAAAAAAGGGGGGGGGGGGATGACAAGGTAGATTTCATTGAAACTTAAATGCTGAAATATTTGGAGGATGCTGATGCGAACAATTTTTTAAAAAGGTCAGATGTAACACAAACAAGGACCAATGGAGGCGATGAGTCACAATAACGTGGCGGAAGTATGTTGACCAGACCACACACTAGAAAGTGAAGGGACAACGATGTTTCGACTGGAGAATGGTCCAGGACGGACCGAAACGTCGTCATCCTTTCACTTTCTAGTGTGTGGTCTGGTCAACAAGGGGCAATGGCTTCAAGTTCAACAAATCACAATGTAGGACTGAAAGCGGGAGATGCTTTTTTACCCACAGGGGTTATAAACCCATGGAACTGCCTACCCGATGCAGCCACAAATGCCAAAATTGTTAAATTTTAAAATCCAACTGGAAAAGATCATCAGGGCAAATGTGGGAGCACTTGACAAGCCACCAGCTTCCTGTCTTCATCGAGGACACTAGAGTAATAGTGACCCTCAGGTGTATCAAGCACACCAGTATTAATATCTATAAACTGGGAGTATATGGGAACGCTACTCACCTTTTTACATACTTCATCACTCGGCCTTGTAATTGTAGTATGCTCTTTTCTTATGGGCTCAAAATACTTATCTATCTTCACCTCCACATCACAGCTGGTACCAACTTCACAGCTAACATTAGCTGCTTCACAGCTCGAGATGAATTTTTTACAACATTCACTTGATTCTCCTTTGCTACAGTTACAATAATAGTATACAATACTATTTTTCTTATTTCTTATAATTTTCTGATTTTCATGTTCTGATTTTTTATTTTTGTTTAACTCCTTACCAGACAACTGAGAGTTTGTCTGTTTATGAGTTATCCGAGAATTTTCATTTCTACAATAAGTTTGCTTATTTCCAAGATGCACTCTCTTAATATCACCTTTACTATTTGCTGATTTATAGTGACCTTGCTTTCTATTGACCCTTGTAGAAGGTTTTTCGTCAACTGATCTTTCCAAACAAATTTTTCTCTGATCACGACACACTTTGTATCTCCCATTTGACTTTTCTGATCTCAAATGACGTTTATGTCTTCTACGGAAGTCATTATTTTTATACCGTCCCTTTTTTTTTGAGCCCGAACGTTTTTTAGACTTGTGGAATGTGTATTTTTTATCTGTGCACACACTGCTGGTGTTGCTTGTATCTGTTGTTGCAGTACTTGTGTGTGTAACTTGTGTGTCCCTGGTGTGTTCTTCAGCACCAGAGGTTGGTAGAGGGCTCCTCGCCTCACAGTTCACACAGATCCTCTTCATGCTCTGAAAGCAAGAAGAGCAAATACTGCAATGTATATACTGAATGTAAGTACTGTATACCATATGAATATATATAAATATTTAATGCAACATCATAGAGGTGTATTTATTTATTTATATACAAGAAGGTACATTGGGTTTATGAGAGAGTTGAAGTTAAACATTCTTGTAAAGCCACTAGCATGCATAGCATTTCAGGTAGATCCTTAATCTAACATATAATTCTAAAAAGGTAATTTCTAGCAAAATTAACAAACACAATACAGATACATTGTAAGAAAGTATACAAATACATTGTAAGTATAAAAATGCGTTTGTAAGAAGGTATAAAAATGCATTTGTAAGTACAAAAAAATACATTGTAGAGTATAATGAGTTTCACAAAAAAAGTAGGTACATTAAAGTAAATTTAAGGGTTATCCACAGGTACATTTTAGCATAATTTGAGGATTATGATAAATTACAAGATATAATGTAGCAAACTATGTGTATAACATGATATAAGATAACATCAATGATTACAATGGTAAAGTTGTATAGCAGGGGTACATACACTGAGGGATTGGGCAGCACTAGATACAGTGCGAGTTTCAAGCACTAGGTAGGAAACTATGAAGATGAAATTAGGTACCTTTTGGTATTATTTTTGATTAAGGCAAAAGTTTGACAGCTTTTCAATTTGTTAGGGAGTGAGATCCATAGACCCTTTATTTGCATAGTGTTTACACAGATTAAGTTTGACTCTGGGGATATCGAAGATATATTTATTTCTGGTGTGGTGATTATGTGTTCTATTACATCTGTCTGTTACATACATACATGTCTATTACATACATTTAAATATGTATTTGCATACATATTTCAAGAAGTTGGCGCTGAAGACAGCAAAAGTCACAAGTTATTATTGATTAAGTGAAGACGATGCTAGAGAGTTCGAATGTGCCCGCAAGAACCAATTTCTTCTTATTCTTGCGATAAATGCACTTTGCATAAAGTTTTTCCTCCCGCTTACTGCAGAACCACTTCCTCGCTCAGACCATATTGGCGCCCAAGTCACACGCTGCCTCGCTTTTGTTGTGGGTTCCTCCCACTTTAGCTCACTTTCCCTTTTTTACTTTTATTATTATACAATACAATTTTATTTAGGTAAGGTACATACATACAATAAATTTTTACAAGGATTGTTTGACTTATAGGTAGAGCTAGTACATACAATGCCTAAAGCCACTATTACGCAAAGCGTTTCGGGCATGATAAACTTAAATGACAAGCTTAATACTAATTGAGCATAATGAGTAGAATGAAAACAAGAAATGAAAACATAGATGAAAAAGCAGCACAAATACAATTATGTCGACAAACAGCGCTCTTTAAAGAAAAAAACAGACATTGGTTGACAATAGAAGGGTAAGGTAGGTTACAGGGAATTTATTAGGTATAGCTTCACTTTTAACTTAAACTGGTTGAGAGAGGTACAGTCTTTAACATGGTTGGGAAGGTCATTCCACATTCTGGGCCCCTTGATTTGTAGGGCATTTCTAGTTTGATTAAGTCGTACTCTAGGAATATCAAAACTGTATTTATTTCTGGTGTGATGCTCATGGGTTCTGATACAACCTTCTATGAAGCTTTTGAGATCAGGATTGGCATTAAAGTTTAGCGTTTTATATATGTATAATACACATGAGAGAATGTGCAGTGACTTAATGTCTAACATATTCAGAGATTTAAGTAGGGGTACCGAGTGATGTCTGGGGCCAGAATTGGATATTGTCCTAATAGCAGCTTTGTGTTGAGTAATTATTTTTTTGTTTAATATAGAAGGGAGTATCACCTCGGGCTGGAAGAAGGGGACCTTTAGCCTCGAAGGAAACCATACATAATACATTAAAGAGAATGTTTAGTCCCCTCCAATAAATAAATAAAAAATAAATATTGATTCAAGTACAGTACATACATACAAAGTGAAATACAAAAGTTGATGGCTTCATAGATAGAGCTAGTACATACAATGCCTAAAGCCACTATGACGCAAAGCGTTTCGGGCAGGAAAAACACTGAAACTAAAACTTAATACTTAGATTAAAGTATAAATTGTGTTATGAAAAAATCAGAAAAAAATTGAATAAAAAAAGGGGGGGGGGGGGAAATGGCAGTAAAAAACAAAAATACAATTTGGTCAACAAACAGCATTGTTAAAAATCGTAGATATGGGTTGACATTTTGGGGTGAGGTAGGTTACATTGAGTTAATTAGGTGGTACTTAGTTTTATCTTAAACTGGTTGGGAGAGGTACAGTCTTTAACATAATTGGGAAGGTCATTCCACATTCGAGGTCCCTTGATTTGTAAAGCATTTCTAGTTTGACTAAGTCGTACTCTTGGAATATCAAATAGGTATTTGTTTCTGGTGTGGTGCTCATGGGATCTGTTGCAACCTTCTAGGAAGCTTTTTAAGGTCAGGACTGACATTACAGTTCAGCGTTATATTTATATAAAATACACATGAGAGGATGTGCAGGGACTTAATATCTAACATATTCAGAGATTTGAGTAGGGGTACCGAGTGATGTCTGGGGCCAGAGTGAGATATTGTCCTAATAGCAGCTTTGTGTTGAGTAATTAGAGGACGTAAGTGATTTTGGGTAGTAGAACCCCAAGCACAAATACTATAGTTGAGTTAGTTTAGTTCATTTATTATGCACCCCATACCCATCCTGTGGGCGGTAGTGGAAAGGGTTACAGAGGCACATAATGGGCTCAGGGACTGAACCCCACAATTCATTTAGCTAAGCAAGTTACAATCTTGATGAGCTAGTTACAAAATTCAATATAAGTCATCACATCAACAATGGGTTCGAGATCGACCTCAAGTACAGGTTCTAAATTAAGCAACTGACATATGTGGAGAGCTAGTGTCAAAATTTATATGTTTGTCCTGCACACCGCCCCCCATCCAGTGGGCAGCGGTGGATAGGTTACAATCACTTAGTTACTACCTACAGTTAGCAAACTGGGGATATTTGGCTAAAATTTCTGGTAGCAGATCATTTTGAATGAAATATTGACACATCGCTGGAACATTGGTTATAGAATTGTCTCTAAATTCACGTATCTTTTCGCACTCCATCACATAGTGACGGAGGGTGTGCGAATAATTTTGTTGACACAGTTTACATTTGGTCAGGTCTACATCAGCAGATAATGAGAATTCCTGGAAAGGAGCAAACATCTGAATCTGAATCTGAATCTGATAAGGATAGATGAGAGAATAATAGAGTGTCACCAAGGCAAGGCGAGGTACATAATATCTGATCTTAGAAAGAATGTCAACACTTTTCGAAACTTTTTTTGATATATTTAGAATGTGTCCCTGGAAATTCAGCTTGCGGTCAATGAGAACGCTAAGGAATTTGCCATCTACTTTGTTACAAATTTGGGTATTGTTAATCCTGAGATTTATTTGATTTGAGGATTTATTGCCAAACAAAATATAGAAAGTTTTGTCAATATTGAGGGTGAGTTTGTTGGCAGTTAGCCAGTGATGAACTTTATATAGCTCAGTATTCACTGTGACATTTAGAGCAAGGGGGTCAGGACTGGAGTAAATGAAGGTCGTATCGTCAGCAAATAGAATTGGTTTGAGATGTTGGGAGGCATTTGGGAGGTCATTAATGTAGATGAGAAGGAGGAGAGGGCCAAGTATGCTGCCCTGGGGAACACCAATGTTGATGGGTAGGGTGGGAGAAATTGAATTATTCACAGAAACATACTGGAGCCTGTCAGTAAGGTAAGATTTGAGGTATTGCAGGGAGTGTCCTCTGACTCCATAATGTTGTAATTTAAGAAGAAGGTTTTGGTGGTTGACAGTGTCAAAAGCCTTACGCAGGTCCTCAAATAACCCGACAGGGAACTCATTTTTATCAAGAGCTGTATGTATCAAGTTAATCATACTAATAAGTGCATCGTTAGTGCTTTTTTTGGGTCTGAAGCCATATTGACAAGAGCTAAGTATATTGAGTTTGGCTAAATAAAAGTAAAGCTGCTTATAGATTAATTTTTCAAATATTTTTGATAAGTTTGGCAGAATTGATATAGGTCTGAAGTTGTTAACATCAGTGGGATCACCACATTTGTGGACAGTTACTCTCGCTCTTTTTAGAATATCTGGATAAGTTTGGAGTTCAAGTGACTTGTTGAAGAGCAATGCAATGACAGGAGCTAAAAATCTGGAGTCTTTTTTGTAAATAAGAGTTGGTATCTCCTCAAGGGCACTAGACTTGCTTTTATGGGAAAGGATTATGTCAGTAACATCAGTGGAATTAGTAGGCATTAGGTACAGAGACTGTGGATAATTACCTGTAAGATAGTCCTGAATATTAGTACTGGACGATGGAATATCATTTGCGAGGGATGACCCAATGGAAGAGAAGAACCTATTGAACTCAAGAGCAGTATCAGAGGCTGAAAGCTGACCATAATTATTTGATAGGGGTATTGGTTTGTTAATTATAATCTTCTGTATTATCTGTACACCAGTTGATTGACAGTTGAGCGGCGGGACCAAAGAGCCAGAGCTCAACCCCGCAAGCACAATTAGGTGAGTACAATTAGGTGAGTGCAGCAATGTGCTGCTACCCTATTCTATATGAAAGATTACACAATGTGGCTAAAAAAACAAGCTATAAGTTTATCTAATATTTCCATCTACAGGATGGTTAGTTTGGCACGACGGGGGCACAGAGGGTTCTGGTGACTGTTAGTGGAGGTGTCCTGGGTGCTCATTGTTCAGATATGGTAACCCAATATTAATTAATAATTACAACAGCCTGACTATTTCTATTGCCCAAGACAGGCTGCGTATTAGTGGACTTGCAAATATGTATTTTACACATCAATATTGTTGCAGGACCAATTGTACCTTTTTATAATTATTTAGTTGGTCGTATGTTAATAATGATAATAATATTGATAGCATGGTGTAGAAGAAGGGAGAGGGATCTGGAGGTCCAGGGTGCGCGGGAGGAGAGCGACGGGTTAAGACCAAACAATCCCCAGCGCTGGGCTCGCCATGTTGACTTTCTTCACCACTCTTCCAGCAGTGGTAACCTGCTAGCTTCACCACCCACGTATGCAAACACTTACGTTTGTTTCCTTCACTGTTGTCCTCAGAGATTGTTATAATAACTTTAAGAGAAGGAGGCATGCCTCACTTAACTTAGGAATACTACCAACATAGTTGTTGGTTTGACATTCTAATTGGCATTGGTAATTTTTTGTGGCACTAATAATACAGTATTATTCATCTCATAACTAAGTATTGACACTGGTACTTAATGGTAGAGAGAATATTTTAGCATTCATCTTGTTGAATTACTCTTATCAAAGAATGACTAGGAGAAGGCTCATTAGTGTGACTGGTAAAGCACTGTAAGCACTGCTTTACCCCAAAAGACAGTGCCACACATCATTCTAGTTTTCTTCTGTTTTATTTGCACTGGTGGTTTGACACTCTTGCAGTCTGCCCTCATTTTTCATTACCTATTTTTCTGATCATAGTACCTTTGCGATTTAACAGATTTTATCCCGATTGGGTCGCATTCTTCCGTCCTTAATGATTGGCGTTTGGTTTAATTGTTCTTAATTCAGTGTGTGTTATTTATGACACTGACTTTTCAGAGAAGGTACAGTGCCTGTTTTCCTATATCGTCCACATCTTTTTCTCTGCTCTACTTGTGCTGGGTTGGCAAGTGGTAAAGCATTCTTTGTTTTCCTTCTCAGACTTCCAAGTTGGGGGAAGGGGGGGGGGCAGTTCATGACAACCTGCTAAGGTTTGGCTAGTTTATTCCTGCTACCCAACTCCATCCTCCCTTGTTGGAGGTTCTCTATTGCCACTCTTCCTGTGGCAATCAGGGATCAGATGCGGGTCTGCGTACTCAGATCAGTGTACCTACTGGTGTGCCTCTGCAACCTGAGTAAGTACTATACTCATTATTGCACTTTGGCTATTTTGTATTTCTCTTTATGTCTGTAGTTGTCTGCTGTAGGGAGTTTTGTCCAAGGAAGCAACTGAATGGCCTAGTTTAAAAATAGGGCTTTGGATGTACATGTACTGTAGATGAAAAGCTCCTTTTTGAGCCAGATACTTGGTTTCTCACTTTCCCTACCCAGTGCTGTCCGGGGTTTTGTCACACAATATGTAGTTGCTTCCTGAGACTAGGATGACGTGTAGGATTTTGACTGTCACTACAGGTGAGCCTATTACCAGTTAGCACAAAGATCTCTCTTGAAGTGAAGTAGTGTTTGAAGTTTAGGTTATTGAGCCGTCTGTGGTCATTCTAGGTTGGATAGAATGAGTCAGAAATAAGGGAAGTCAAATATGAAGCCCCCCATGGGAATGAGGGATCGAGTAATCTCCAGTGTTGCCTTCAAAATGAAACCTAGCCATAGAGTCATAAAAAAAATGGTAAAATTTTTTGCAGGCGATGAGTCACAATAACGTGGCTAAAGTATGTTGACCAGATCACACACTAGAAGGTGAAGGGACGACGACATTTCGGTCCGTCCTGGATCATTCTCAAGTCGATTGTGGTAACATTTTTACTTTGCTCAAAATTTTCCATGCAATTTACTGGGAACTGGCTTCAATTCCTGGTAATCTACCAAGACAGTTTGATTTAGCAAGCACCAATATTTTTTTCCACTAGCCAATTCATTTTGTACTATTGCAGTCCTTTTAAGCAAGGTCCTACTGTTATATTGATTTAGAATCCACACAAATTATGCCTAAGTGTTGAACTCTTTCCAAAGAAGCTATGCCTTTCTGAAGATGAGGTCTCCATGCTTGGATACAGTAATCCATGTTGGGCACACCAGAGAGGAAAAGACTGGCCATAACTGTTAAGGTTGAAACACTTCCCACATAGTTAACTGAATAATTCACTAAACAATTTTATGAATTAATTTGTTAAGTTTCTGAATGATGTTTATAGGAAACTTGGCCTTCAAGGCAACTGTTTCCTTTTTACTCGTGCATCAGATTCATCAGCGTGCATCAGTGGACAGCACGCTGGACTTGTGGTCCTGGGTTCGATCCCAGGCGCTGGCGAGAAACAATGGGCAGAGTTTCTTTCACCCTATGCCCCTGTTACCTAGCAGTAAAATAGATACCTGGGTGTTAGTCAGCTGTCACGGGCTGCTTCCTGGGGGTGGAGGCCTGGTTGAGGACCGGGCCGCGGGGACACTAAAAAAAAATGCCCCGAAATCATTTCAAGATAACCTCAAGATCTCTTTTTGTCATTACATTGTTTGTGTACTGTATAACTACTCTTATATTAATTCTGGCTGTAGGATTCTTAATTCTTACGATAATTTAAATATCACCAGTGTAAACTGCAAAGCTAATCATCATTAGTACAGTTTCAATACTGTACTGCAGCTTTCTCTCAAACCAGGTTGTGTAGATTATGGAACTTGTAATTATTATATGATTAGTAATTACCAAGGGTTTTTAATCTTTTTTTGTTGATTTAGTTAATTAAAAATATTTGACAACTGGGTTAAGTTTGATATTTGCAGGTTATTTGTCTGAAAACAAACAATCCATCTCACACACATGGTAATATTTTAATATTATCATGGTTGACAACTGGCATAACTTCTATAACAGATATGACATGTATGCACAGGATGGGGGAGTTAACCATGGGATTAAAACTCCTTATCGGTAAGAAAAAAGCCATGTTCAAATGAATTAAGAATGGGGCATTCTTCTGTATCTAGAATTTGTTTTATCAAACTAGCAAGAACAGGTTAAAATGAAGTAAAGAAAGCTAAAATAAATTATGAAGTGCACATAGAGGAGCAAGAAAAGACAAGTTCTAAAGAGTTTTTTCAAATGCAGTACTGTATATCAAGCAAAGAATAGGGGGAGGGGGGGGGAGACTAAGCCATTAAAAAAATGGGACAGGTCAGGTAAGTTGTCTTTCTTTGTATGCATAAGTCTTGTAAGGTGTACAGTACAGCATTCAAAATAGAGAAACTGCAAGTTGAGTAGACTTTATTCAATAATAGCATTTTGCCTGTGAGGACTTTATCAAGGCCTATTCACATTTCTGTTTCTCTACATTGTTGTCAACACTTTATCCTCTTTTGATCCAAACTTAAGAATGGTGGAACAGTAAGGCTTGTCATTATATTTACACATTGTATTATCCTTCAGAGAGTGATATATGTTTATCTCTCAGAATGTTCGGTAATACGTTTATTGCTTGTGATGCGTGTCTATGTATGTATTAAGACGATGTACTGAACGGGGTGAGAATAGCTTGAGCTACCTCATCCCTTTGTGTGTATTTTACCTCAATAAACTTATTTCAATTTCAGAGAGTGATGTTGGAGCTGTTGTGGAGGAGAAAGAGTGAGGAATTTCAGAAGACAAAACTATGGCAAAACCAACAGGAGGTGTTGAAAATAATGCAACACTACAGGAGTTGGATAACCTGAGTGACATTAGTGATGATGTGGATGACATCCTTAACCAGGAGGTAAAGGTGCTGGGTTCATGTTAGGATATCACATGCTCATTTGGATCACTAGTTATTCATAGTCAAATATTTTCCTCTTTTATTCCTTCCCACTTGTAATACAGTATGTTAGAGTTGTAAGTGCCATTTGCAATATTCAGGCATATACTAAATAAGTATACATCTTGATTTTTTGTTTACAGTACTGTATATGTAAACAGTAACCATACAAATACTAAACCATTTAAATTTATTTAAACTTTGTATAACTACATTAATCATGAAATCTCTTGTTATCAAGTTAAGTTTTATAGTTGATTTGAGTGTGTAATTATAGGTATCGTACTAGAAGCTGGACAAAATATTATTGTTCTCTTGGGTTATCTTCTTCTTGAGATGATTTCGGGGCTTTAGTGTCCCCGTGGTGTGAGTGTGGTCATTTGTATTACCTACTTTATTTTAAAAATATTTTTAGTAAAAGCAGGTCAGGTGATTAATACATAATTATTATTTAAATATTTGGAACAAACTTTTTGTAAAATTTGGTTCACTTTATGGATCCATAGTCAAGAACAGGATGCCTGTTAGGTTTATCCAAGTCCCCATAGGCCAACTGATGAGCTTCTGCAGGATGTAATCCATAACAGTTGACTAATTCCCAGCTACCTATTTATTACTAGGTAAACAAAAGCATTAAGCGAAAGGAAACTTTGCATAAATGCTTATCCTGCCATGGGAGTTGAATCCAGAACCTTTCGTGCTGTGACGCAACTGTGTTGACAACTAAAAGACCCCGGCTTTGATGTCCGGGCAGGGTAAAATGTTTTGGTACATTTGTTAACACCTGATAACTCTGTACACGTAGCAGCAAAACGTTATTTGGTACTTTAGCAACTGATGTAGATCGCATCCTGTGAAGGGTCAGTTGTTGGTATAGGGAAACCAAAACCATGTGTGCAAAGGTACAGTTTGTCCTATAAACTTGGGCTATATGATAAATCATGGAGATAATCACCTTGAGTTGTGAACAATGAACATCAACAGATCACAGGTTTTAAAATATGCTCCTGAATGGCTAAACTTGACCAACCTGCAAAGAAACTGAGACAGTTAGGCCTTTGAAAATGGGTGCATGGGCATAGGTTGAGGAACAATGCTGCAAACAGCACCGGCAAAATAAGGCCCCACCTGAGAGTAGTTTGGTGGCTGAGGTTTAGAACCTTATTCCCAAGCGTGGTGTGTTCAAACTGCCTGAGTTCCAGCCAGAGCTGTCTACTTTCCCTGCGTACAAGTGCAAAGAGCCGTTTCCCTTCTTAACCACCACACTGCGCACCTTATTTTGGCAAAAACTTCATAGTGCAATTGTTTAGGACATATTTTTGTTATTTTTATAAATGTTCAGATAAAGTTAATGTAAAAATTTTTCCAAACTCAAGCATTTTCATTTAAAAATCGATGAAAACATTAAAATATAGCTAATTAAAAAAAAGCACAACATTCAAAGTGCCTTAGGGTGCTCTGCACAGAACAGTGGTTAAGGATAGAGAAAGCTCTTTCAAGTGGTTTCCTTCTTTTGACTGTGGTCTAGGGCGTGACTGCTTCATTACCAGATGTGGCATCGGGACACAGTTTTACTCTGGTGGCAGCTAAGTTCTGGTTGAAGGGAAGGTAACTTGGCTTGACTGGAAAGGTAACTTTTCTGGGGGGAGCCCCGTCGGCTCCCCGGAGCTTTCCCAGGCTGATATGCTAATGTCAGACTTTGACATCAGTCGTGTGTATGGAGTTCTTAGGCCTACCAGGGACCATGGACAGAACTGGGCCCCCTTAGAGAGGCAAGGGGAGCAATGGCCTATAGAAACCCCCGTGTGATTGGAAGCATTCTATGTCTGCCATCGACCGGGACAGGTACCCAGAAAGGTAAGCGCCTCAAAACAAACCCCTATTCTGGTTAAAATTGCTACCAAAATGCCAAACTAGTGGATAGAACTCCAACAAAAAACAAGCAAACTAGTGTGATGTCACACGTCGCTGCGCCGCTGTCTGGGCAGCTCCCCCCTCCCCGGGAGGGGGAAGGGGGAGCCCCAGACCCTCCACGCTGGCTACCCACACCTCGGTTCTTGAGGCTGATGCTATAGGCGAAGGTCGTGTGCTCTGGCTCCAGTGTCGCTACAGCACTGCTTCGCGTGTGGTGTTTGTTTTTGTGAGTGCGAGAGCCAGGAGTTATCTTCAGTACTCGGGCTGCATGCGCCTAGGGCTGCCTTCCCTAGGTGCCCTGTAAGTACTGCCCTTGGGGCTTGGGGCCACCTTCCACAGGCTCCTTGGGGTCTGCCTCTGCTGGTCCGTTTTCCCTTTTCGGTTTTCGGCCGCCTGTTGGGCTCCTGGGTGTTCTGTTCTCCCTTGTTACCTGCAGGTAGGAGGCAGTTTGCACTGGTAGGGGCGCAGGGTGCTGCACAGCTTTGTATTCCCGACATAGCGGCCGGCTCTGTTCCTCGGGGTTCGCTGTCCTCTTGCGGGGTTTTGTTTTTGGTTTTGGCCTGGTGGGGGGTTCTGCCCTATTATTCCACTGGTGTTTGCCCTTCCACGGTTCTCCTCGGTGGCGCCCCCTGCTAGGTCCCCATGAGTGTACACGTCCCTGGGGTTCAGCTATAGAAGTTCGCTTGGTAGTTTGGGCGCCGGTTAGCAGCGCCCTGCCTGGGACTACCTGAGTGCGAGTCCTTTTAAAGTAAACGCTTGGAACCCTGGGAATCCCCTAGGGGGCGCGTGGGTCCGATGGATGTGACCCCGGAGTCCTCGCTCGCTGTGTGCGAGTCTGAGGGTTGCTCGGTCCCCTTGTCTCACGGTGACCCTCATTGTTTTTGCCTCTGCCACGACGCCTGTTGGGTCGGTGTTACTTTCGATCCTGAGTCCTGTGACTGTTGCTGCTTGTTTGTGACTCAATTTACCCAATCCTCTGATGATTCTATTCGGGTACAGGCGGCGCGTGCGTTGCAAGTTAGGTTTCATCTGTTGCAACGTGCTCAGTTGGTTGCTCACCCGGATGCCCCGGGGCTGCTCCGCTTTGCTTTTCGAGACCCGAACTTGGGGGTGGGGGTCACTTCGATCCTGGTTCAGTCCGCACCTCCTCGTCCTTCCCCTTCTGTTCATTCTGGTTCCCACCCCCCCTGCTTCCGGCCCTGAAACGTCTGAGGGTTTCGGAGTCGGAGTAGGAGTTACTTGATCTCGAGACTCGGGCAGCTTCGGGGGGGGGGGGATGCCCCTTCCAGGGGGGCGGCAGAGGCATTCGAGTCTTGTCTTCCGGCCGAAGCTTCTGTGTCTGACTAGTGGGCCCCCTTTCTTCCGGCTTCTACGGCTGCTCCGTCCCTGTCTTGTGGGGGTCAGGGCTTGGGGAGAGGACTTGGCTCCGGGTTCTATGGTGAAGGACCACAAGGCTGGGGTGGGGCTGACTTAGGGGGCCTTGGGCCCCGCTGGACCCTGCCTGGGTTTTTCTTCCCTCTGAGCGGGGCTTACTGTTGCAAGGAGTGGGGTTTTCTTTTACCCCCTTTGCGTACAAGTGGGGTTTGTTTTGGGGCGCATATCTTTCTGGGTGCCTGTCTCGGTCGATGGCAGACATAGAATGCTCCCATCTACCGGGGGTATCTATAGGCCATTGCTCCTCGTGCCTCTGAGGGGGCCAGGTTCTGGCTCGTGGTCCCCTGTAGGCAAGAACTCCATGCACTTTGACTGATGCCCGAAAGCTAATGGTTACATATCAGCCTGGATAGCTCCTGGGAGCCCAGAAAATGGCGTTTCGTTACATTCAACGCTGGTTTTATTAAATTTAGATTTGAATATTATTTATTTTAACTTTGGCATTGTCTTACTCATGCAAGTAACTCATCAAATGTAATTTCTATATTTTTTAGGATCTAGCAAATTCGAACGCGGAAAATGGACATGCAAATAATGGTGAGTTGACATTCCTGTTGAATTTTAGTTTTAAATTTTAAAGAACAGTTATCTCATTTGATGTACACATTGTTTGTAATATATGATAATAGGAGGTTTTATTCAGTATTTATTAATGTGAACACGGAAAATTGAATCTGGTTTTGTAAAGACTTTTTGTAAATTCTAGACACTTTAACCCCCAAAGTGGGGTAAGTGTGGCAACTCAGTTGAGCTGAGGAATGATTTTCACTGTCAATGCTGAACCCTGAACTTACTGGGAGAGTCTCTTCAGTGTTTCTGAGCCTCACTCTGGTACCTCCCAGCCTTGGCTGCCATACCAAGCCTCTGAGACCCATGTGTGACCATGACAAGATACCAGGGCCAAAATCTGGTTCACTAGCCAACACATGTAAAATGGACACCAGCCTTTTTGTAAAGGTAATAACAGTATAATGCACATGAAGGACAAACATTAGAGAGTAACACTTGAAGGGAGCATTCTCCTTCCTCTGGCTCAACTCTGCTCTCTTCTGAAAATATTTTATTTCTGGGGGACTGAAGCTATCTCACTGAGAAGGCTCCTCATTGGGTCACATTAGTTGCAGGAGGTTTTGTTTAGCCTACCAGGGACCAGAGTCTGAACTTGGCCACCTCACAGAGGCACAGGCATGCATGCAGGCATTCTTCATTGGCATGCAGTGGGGGATGGTCTTCTTTTCCCCTCCTACTTTTAGGGCTGATCCTCCCCTCTGCTGCACACACACAGTCCTTGGGACATGGGTACCCTCGACATGGTCATTTCTGTTTTACCACCACCCACCATTTTAACATGGAGCCGGAACAACCATGGACATCTTCAAGAGGAAACTAGATTTATTCCTCCAAGGAGTGCCGGACCAACCTGGCTGTGGTGGGTATGTGGGCCTGCGGGCCGCTCCAAGCAACAACTTGGTGGACCAAGCTCTCACAAGTCAAGCCTGGCCTCGGGCCGGGCTTGGGGAGTAGAAGAACTCCCAGAACCCCATCAAGCAGGTATGCAAATGATGTGCATCTCTATGGTTAAGGTTGTATTTAGGGCCCAAGATCTGATAAAGATGATACTTATACAGTACAGTATTGTTTTCTTCCCCTTGGCCTAATTAGAATAGGAATTGTCTAGTCCCATGAGACAAAAGCAAGCATAATGTGAGAAATAATAGTTGATTTTAATATGGGGTATCTGGTACTCAAACTAGTGTGTAGACAGGGTGTCTAAAGTGACTAGAGGCACCAGCCAGTGCTCACTTCAGGACCTGACCAATAAAAAAGTCCAAAGTTTTTTTGTGAACAGCAGAGGTGCTTAGCAGGAGCAACTGTGATTCACTGAAGAGCTTAGCGGGCAGCGCCAAGCCTTCCATGTCTATGAATAGCATTCACACTGGCTAGCAAACATGGCACTTGTTCTCGATTAACAAGGCCAGATTATCTAGGGACATAACTGAAACTATAATGCACCAAGATAACCTGCAGGACATCTTTGAAGTGATTCCTTATTTTCCTGCAGTTGCTGTTGTGTGAACAAACAGTAACATCATTCCCCGTTGTCTTATATGTACTAATATACACTCAGTAATCTGAATCATATGAAGCCGACATCTGTGACTTAGCCAAATTTCTTGCCGGGAATGTCCAAAAATGAACAAATTCGCAAGTTTTTGTACAACCCAGATACTGTACTTCCACCGTTTACCCCGGATACTCCAGCCATTTACCCGGATACTCCTGCCATTTACCTGGATACACCTGCCATTTACTCTCACTGTTTACCTGGATACTCCAGCCATTTACCCGGATACTCCTGCCATTTACTCCCACTGTTTACCTGGTTACTCCTGCTGGTTACACAGTTACTTTTGCCATTTACTAAAAAATGATGAGTACGGGTGCCTTACAGCTGGGTGGACAGCACTTTAGATTTATAGTCCTGAGGTTCCGGGTTCGATCCCCGGTGGAGACAGAAACAAACGGGCAAAGTTTCTTTCACCCTGATGCACCTATACACCTAGCAGTAAATAAGTACTTGGGAGTTAGACAGCTGCTATGAGTTGCTTCCTGGGGGGGGGGGGTTTGTAACAAAAAGAAGGCCTGATTGAGGACCGGGCCGCAGGGACGCCGAGCCCCGAAATCATCTCAAGATAACCTCAAGATAACAAATTCATTTAGGTTACACAAAGTTTTAGGCTAGTGGAATTCAAATTACCGAGCTCTTATAGTACATATGTAAATAGTGTAAATAAGCTATTACTGTATTACTGTAACATGACATTAAATCTTACCCTTAAACCCAAATATCCATTGCAATTGTATATTTGTTCATTTTTCACAATTTCCCTCTAGTATTCATTATATAAATTACGATGACAATCTTGCAGTAAAACGAGTCCCTCTTTTGGTATGATTATCGCAGATTCTTATCCTATCATGTGTGTTCCATGTGCTACATAGTCATACTGGCTTAGTACTGTCTCCTGATAATTACCTTATATTCCGGGTTGACTCAGAAGAGAAGCCTGCGAACAGTTGTGGTTTTGATAATTGTGTTTAGTGATACCCATAGATCCCAGTTAACACTGCTGATGTATAACGCTTCATACTCAGGAACTCTGGCTTGGTTCAGCACTGTTATTTTGATAGTGCTTGTGGTCACAGTTTGACCCGAGTTCTTTCATTACCAAGGTCAATTGTAATCTGTGAGGGCAGCTAAATTTTTCTGTTTAGTAGATAGTTCCATTCGTGTTATACATTATAACTATTAACAGTTTCACATCTTGCTCCATAAATAATAAGTTTCGCTATCTTAAATAATACAGTAACAACCAGTTTGTGTTAAGGTCGGGAAGATCATGTGATGATCGCTGAGGTCTTTGAGCAAAGAGGCAGTTGGCCAGATGGCATCCCTCTAGTCCAAAAATTTAATTCAATAAAGTCTCACACAAAAGATGATTTTGGCAGTTGGAATACTAGTTGTGATGGAGGCTGAGATATGGAGGTATGGGAGAAAATTGTATACAACTGACTGGCTGACCCTCTGTTTGACTATCCATCCATCCTATCCCATGCATCCCATCCATCCCATCCAATCCAATCCCATTCATCCCATCCATTCAGGTAGCTAATACTCAACCCTGTAATCATATGTAGGAGAATACATATACCTGTTTACTGTACAATATTTCTGCTTTATTTTTCAGGGTATGTGTCGGAGGAGGAAACTGGTCAGGATTTACTCAATATGGAAGACTTTGAAGTGGTTGATGCTCTGGTGGACTTTGAAGTGGTAGATTCTGTCGAGGACTTTGAAGTGGTAGAAGCTCTGGAAGATAGAGAGGATCCTCATGAATCACAAAATATGAGCCAAGTGCATGCCTCTGGCATCGCAGAGAGGGACGTCAAGGACAAGCAAGTTGCACGCGCAAGTGCTACAGAAACGGATCAAACAAACAAGAGCAAAGAATGCAAAGATGAAAAAAATATTCACAAATCTAAAGATTCTTCAAAATCACATGAAGAGGGAAAGAGTAATGACTTCCGTAGAAGAAATAAAGATAATTTGAGGGAGTGTGAAAACTCTGGTGGAATATACAAGGCAAGTGGTAATCAGAGGGAAAGTCATTCTGGAAGGTCAGTTGACAAACAAAGTTCAATTAAATCATCTAGCGACAGATCCAATAAAAAGAAAGATGGTGCCGTAGTAGAAGCGAAGAGTGACGGTAAGAGTATGTATGTCAGAGAGGAAAAAAATGATTGTGGTAAGGAGAATTCTCAGAGAATTACTAATAAACGGACAGATTTACAATTGCCTGATGAGAAAGAGAAGCCTGACCAAGTTCTACCAAAATGCATTATGAAAGCAAGTGACCAACTCAGTAAATTAAATAAGGATGGATCTATAAAATGCATTTCTGAAGACATAAATATTACAATATCCCAGAACGAAGATAAGAAAATTATTGAAAATAAGAAAGACACTTTAAGTAATTCGGGCAAACAAGAATTGAGTGCAAGGTGTGGAACAGACACTGTGAGTTGTGAAACCAGCTGTGCAAGTTGTGGAGCAGCTGGTGCAGGCTGTGATGCAGCTGGTGATACAGCTGAGAATGTCAACATCTGTGAGTTGAGCAGGTCCTCTTGTGAGATAACAAGTGATACCTGTGAGTTGCCTGGCAATAAAGATAATATTTTAGATTTTCTTCTAGAAAAACAGATTTCTCAGGGAGAGAGCTCTTTTGATATAGAGCTGAGACTAGTTACTGAGGATTCTAAACAGAATACTGCAAAATCTAGGCTGGCAAATAGGAATCTGAAAAAAGATCCCAAGGCTAAGCATGCATACAAGAGTTTGAAGGAAGATAACATAAAGCTTGAGCAGACAACTAAGCAATGTTCTAAGCTGCAGCAGGCAGTTAAGTTTTGTAAACAGGATTGCAAACAAAAATATCAGAAATTTAATTGTGAAACTGAACATTCTCAAGAGGAAAATCTATTTTCTAATCAGGTATAGTAATTAAGTATACTTAGTATAGTATAAGCAATATACAACTTGTGGTTTTGTCACGTTTGTTAATTTTTTATTGAAGGTTTACATGTAGTATCATAAAAATGCCTAATCATATTTACATTAAATTGACAACACTTTTGTAGGATCATAAAGCTGAGGTTAATTTCATAATACTGCACTCGTGTTTTTCTTTATATCTGGAAAACACCTCATTGGACTGTATTGACTTGAAACAAAACACATGTAGCATATTGCCAGCTATAGGTACAAAAGAACCTCAGCACTCGAACAATTCGGCACTCGACCACTGTACATGTTCGGTACTCAACAGTTTGTTTGGCATTCAAACGTAAACACGCATCCCAGACGAGTCAGTTTCCCAGTAGCTGTCGTTCAGTGCACAACACCACTAGACTTCCCTACATTTTCTCGTGTTTTCTTGGATATTTTTTATATTCTTAGTTTAAATAAGTCACCATTTCACCTAAGAAAGTTAGTAAAGGTTAGTGATAAGGGCCAAGCAAAAAGAAAATTAGTTAGAACCACGATTGAGATGAAATAAGAACTTGGAGCAAAATAGGAAAGCGGTGCCCACGTGTCTGCTCTTGCTACTGGGTTTGGTATGCCTAATTCTAGTTCTCTAATAAAAGAATGGCATGATCACAAAGTATGAGTACAAAGGAAAACTTATTAACTAATGAAAAAAATGTTTGTTAGAAGTAAAAGGCATAAGACCATCACGACAAAACAATAAAAAAAAGTGAGAAACAATCAAATTAAGGACCCCAAACCTAAAATGAGCACATCAAATGCTCCACAAAGAGGTTTACCTTATAGCTAGCCATCACCTGAGGAATTATAGGAACAATATATATGTAATAGAATATTCACAATGTAAAATCCATCAGGTAAAGGGTATTATTAACCATGATACTAAATTAACAGCTACAACACACACGTGACCTTGAGAAGAAGTATAGGTTAGGAATCGTCTCCAAAGAATTTTCAAAGAATTACTCATCATTGCTATCTAAAATAATTAGCAGAGCCAAAACTCCCTGTAACCTACCTTACCCCTATAATGTCAACCCATTTCTGCTATTTTTAAACGATGCTTGTTTGTCGACCAAATTGTATTTTTTGCTGTTTTCTGCCATGTTTCCCCCTTTTTTATTTTTAGATTTTCTCAACACTTTTTATACTTTAATCTCAATTAGTATTATGTTTTAGTCATTAGTGTTTTTCCTGCCCGAAACGCTTTGCGTAATAGTGGCTTTAGGCATTGTATGTACCAGCTCTAACTATAAATTCATCAATATTTGTATCACACCTTGTATGTATGTACTTTACCTGAATAAACATTTGAATTTGAATTTTGAATTTTGAATGTGTATGAAAATGAAAAGTAACAAAACACAGGAGTAGCTCTTTGTTCAGGCCCACTTGGGGGACCTTATATCTTGGATTCCATTTCTTGGTTTCTTACAAAGGTCTTATGTCCTATACTTTTAATAAATAAATTGGAACGCCACTTGCTGTGGGTTTCTGGGGGGAGCCCCCTTCGGTTCTCCGGAGCTATCCAGGCTGATATGGATGTTATTTGACTTTGGCATCAGTCGGTGTGAATGGAGTTCATAGGCCTACCGGGGACCATGAGCCAGAACCTGGCCCTCTCAGAGAGGCACAAGGAGCAATGGTCTATAGAAATGGACATGTGATTTGAAGCATTCTATGTCTGCCATCAACTGGGCCAGGCACCCAGATAGGTAAGCACCCCCAAACAAACCTCTATTCTGGTTAAAACTACTGTACATGGCTTTCTTGCTGACTTGCTGGGTGGTTTTGTTCACCTTCCTGCTCTTTGCAGGCCTGTTACATTTGCTTCTTGCATTGTGTCCACTACTGGCTTCTTGCAAAGCATGACTATTTGAGTTTGTCTTTGTCTGCCCTTCTTTCACCCCAGTCTGCATTGTTGTTATTTACATTTGTGTGTTGAAATACCTTGGGAAATCCTCCCAGAAATCCAACATTGAATGTAATGAAAAACTGTACTACTCTCTGGTGGGTTTTCTCTGCATTGTCTTCGAATCTTCCCATGTTCGGGAAGTCATCGTGTTTGGGCAGTGTGTAAATTACTAGGTTGCTGGGGCTGCCATATTATGGGGTGTGGAATTAATAATCTGTTTGTTCTTGATGAGTTGTTCAAATCAGGGTTACAAATGTTGTCAAAGCAGTCGCTTGTTTTGTTGCACGTTACCTTTCTGGTGAATTTTCCCATTGGTTACTGTAGAGATGTAGTACTCCCACACTCCCCTTGCCTCTATAAGGGGGGCCAGATTTTAGCACTGTTAGCGGCTCATGACGCAATAATCTGGTGTGGTGTAGTACCTGGGTTTGGAAGACTCCAGGGGGGGGGTAGCTCAAGGAGATACTTTGATTACACTGGATTTTTTTTTTATAATGTTGTCTTAGGAATTACATACTTTTAGTATTCTATGTCCTTGATTAACCTACTTGTTGATGAAATTGTATACAAATGAACTTTATTGTAACAATGGTTTATTTTATTTACAGGTAGTTGGCGAGCCACGTCTGTACAGGTATAGCAAGGTGGTTATAATTGGAGATTCTCGCATCAAGCACTTAGAAGATGTTGGGATAAAGAGTACATTTGGCCCTCTGGAGATCAAGTGTGTGCCAGACTTGACCCTTGATAATCTGGAGGAAGCTGTTAAGCATTATGCTGATAAAAGCAATTGCCCTCGAGGAATTTTGCTCATTTGTAGTGTTGGCATCTATGATATGATTGACTTAAATAACAATTTATCCTGCCAGAAAACGCAGTGTTCGTATAACCATAAACCATTGAAACAAATTTGTGATGTAAAAAAACATTCAGCAAATGTTTATCGCACTTTAGTGACTGTGAATAAGAAATTAAAACAAATGTTTGGTAAACATTCTGCAGTGTTCTTTACAACTGTTCTCCCAGTAAGGATTTCAAATTATAATTTGTTTCAGAAACGTGTTCACAGTGAGAGCACTGGACATGAGCCAGTTTTTTACAAACGACATTGGAATGCTAATATGGAAAAACAAATTCAAAATAAGGTATTTAAATTTAACATAGAAGTGGCCGAGTTATGTGTCCGGGGAGATGGTAAGGAGATTGTTTGGGGCCTGTTACCTCTTAAACCAGAGTTCAAAGTATATGTAGATGAATATTTAGAGGATGGGCTGAACCCATCAAGAGATGCAACAGAAAATTATATGATTCCCATGCTAAAATATACCATTAAGCAGTATCATATGAACAGGTACCAGGAAGTTGTGCTTATTGGTGATTCCAGATTACATAAAGTGGAAAAAGTGTGGCCTATAAATGATGGAGAGATGGTCACTATATTTACACAGTGCAAGTTGTCCTTCCGAGCTTTGACTGAAGACAACCCCATTGTGAAGGAAATTTCAGGCAAGAAGGATGCACTTATAGTTCTTAGTTTAGGCATGTATGATATTATAAACTTTGTTGCAGAAGATGGGTGTGACTCCCATAAGATGAAATTGGAATTACCCTCATTATGTTTAGAGAATTTGGACTCTAGTGATAAACTCTGGAATGACTTTGTTAACTCACTGAAGAGCGTTGACGAACTTCTCCGTAAAGTAACGACTAACTGTGATGTAATAATCACAACCATTTATCCATTTGATTTTCTGACCTTACAGAACTACTTGGTCAAGAGACACGCTGAAGAAACCGGACACATTGTAACAATTCCTTCACAATCCATGGAAATAAAGGAAAAATTAAACAGGATTGGGCAGTTTATATTAGGAATTAACAGGATTGCATTTACACTTGCTGAAGTGAAACAGTTGCCTGTCTGGGACTTTAACAGTTTGGTGTTTGGTATTGATTTGCCAAAAGATAATGTTCCTTTGTTTGATGGTTTCCATCCAACTGTAGTTGTAGCAAGAAGGATAGCTAAAGCTTGTGTAAAGTTTGCGGACAATTCTCTGTATGTTTACAATTCTTATAAACATCCTACTCAAATAAAGGATGACACTGAATCTGACAAGTTGCTTCGTATACGCCAGCCTGATTTGTCTACAATTATGGAAAGCAATACTTTGTCGCTTCCACCAACCAATATTGGAAAAATAAGGAGAATTAAGTGTATTGATCGACTGGGAGTTAGCATTATTAATAACTCATGCAGTAACATTACAAAAAAGCATTATCTTTTACAAATCACTTCTGCTTTAACATTGACACCATGTGTCTATATAAGTTATGTAAAAGGTAACAGAAAAGCAAGTAGTGATACTGAGTCTCTCTCTCCAGTTACCATGGAAGACACACCAGTGGTAAGTGGATTTTCCAAAAACTCTTATCTTGAGTGTGTATCTCCAACTGACTTGAGTCTATCACCATGTAGTTATGTAGGTGAGGAGAGAGTGTTCAGCCCTGAAAGAGAGAACTTTCAGAGTCAAAATTCCCTTCTTGAACCTGTCTCTCCATCTTCAATGCGTTTGTCATCTCCAGATTATGAAGAAGATAAAAATGCTGAATTACATGATAAAGCGAGCTTAGTTATGAAATGCAACTCAACAGAAAATTATACAGTAAACTATACAGACAATACCTGCAGCTTTTCAAAGTATGGCACATCTGATTTGATCTCTGCAAGACTGAAGAGTAGGGAATTGTTGGGCAAAAATGATAATGATAACAGAGAGAACAGTCCCAAGAAGAAGCATAGTCCAAAGAAGGACTATAGTCCAGTGAGGGAGCTTAGTCCTTGGAGATATGGTAGCAAAGTCAGTGACCGCAGTGGCGGTAGATGTTACAGTATTGAGGAAAGTGACTGTTATGATAAAAATCTTTCTAGTCCAGAAAGAATAAGACGGGAGAGATGTCACTCGCCTGTTAAACAGTACCCTTTAGATAAAAAAACGTGGAGGCAAAGTCCAAGAAGAAGCTGCAGTAGAGAGGAGATATGGAGGCAAAGTCCAAGAAGAAGTTGCAGTAGAGATGAAACATGGAGGCAAAGTCCAAGAAGAAGTTGCAGTAGAGATGAAACATGGAGGCAAAGTCCAAGAAGAAGTTGCAGTAGAGATGAAACATGGAGGCAAAGTCCAAGAAGAAGTTACAGTAGAAATGAAACATGGAGGCAAAGTCCAAGAAGAAGTTGCAGTCCAGTCAGGCACTCGGGCCATGGCTTCAATGATAGGGTCACCAATGAGCACCTGAGACAAGACAGAAGAAACACCAATTGGGAAAGAGATTTGTACTCTCCTACAAATTCTTTACACTGTAAAAGGTATGAATTAAACTTTATATTTTTCCTTTCTTGGGGGAGCCCCGTTGGCTCCCCAGAGCTTTACCAGGCTGATATGCTAATGTCAGACTTTGGCATCAGTCATGTGTATGGAGTTCTAAGGTCTACTGGGGACCACGGCCAGAACCTGGCCGCCCCCCCTCAGAAAGGCAAGGGGAGCAATGGCCTATAGAAACCCCCGTGTGGTTGGAAGCATTCTATGTCTGCCATCGACCGGGTCAAGCATCCAGAAAGGTAAGCATTCCAAAACAAACCCCTATTCTGGTGAAAATTGCTACCTTAACCCTTAACATGCTCGGGGTTTAATATCCTGTCATCCCCACAGGCGCATGTCATTTTGAAAAAAAAAAAATTATTTTTTCTTCCTAACCTGTTAATTTGTGTTCACTGATCACGGGAAAAATAATAAAAAAATCGTAAGTGGCATATATTGCCCGCTATAGGACGGGGAAGTCTGGCAAATTATAGGCGCTGACTCAGCGTCGTCCCAGGCGGTCTGTTGCTCGCAAGCTGTCAGGCCGGAGTTGCCACAAAGAGATAATTACCGAATTATTTCAATGTCTCTGATTGATTTTTCATACTTTTTTTGCTGTAATATTATTCAATAGTGTGTAGTTTGATATATTTATATAATAAAATGAGTGAATCATTGCTGTACTCAAAAATATGGTGTGCATATTGTTGATTCAATTATTTTCATCAATCAGTGGACAAATACTTTGTCGGTTATTACATTATAAGCACAGGTTATATATAAGTATCTGCATGTTTTGTTCACTATAACGAACCACTAAGTAGCTATTATGAGTCAAAAAGTAACAAGGAGTGACCGCCGTGTACCAGCCAGCCACTCCCGCCCTCCCTCCAGTCATCTGACTCACCCTCATTCTCCTCCCACAATAATGTTTTTGCTATAATTCACTATATACAGACGTTATATATAAGTATCTACATGTTTTGTTCACCATAACTGTACATCTAAGCTTGTATGGTGAGTAAAGGCACAAAGATGTGGCTACTCACACAGCTGATCGGCGGCCACCCTCAAGGCCAGACGCACTAATATTTCTCCTCCAACAATACTGTGTGGTGTTATTACGCTATATACACACATTATATATAAATATCTACCTGTTTTATTCACCATACTTGTACAAATAAACTGGTATGGTGCCCAAAGACCATCGTGGTAACCAGTAAACAACACGGTGCACGGTAACCAGTAAACAACACGTCTGCACGGTGGCGTCGTGCAGACGATGCCACCGCCCTCACCAAAATGGCAGCTCCAAACCTTCTCTTGCTGTTTATACCTTCTATACACACGTTATATATAAGTATCTACATTTGTGTTCACTATAGCGAACCACTAAGTTGGTATGCTGAGTGCAGTCAATAAAAGGTGGCCACACACAGTCAAAAGACGTCGCCACCATCCTCCCTCCCACAGCATTACTCCTCCCTCCATGGCGCACAGCGCTAAATATCACCACAATCCTGCTATTATCAGAACCCTGGTCAGTTTTATCACAGTCAGGGGTCTTCTGTAATAATATCATCTCTACATAATAGCATGAAGAAGTATAATTTGGCATTTTTAGGCAATGCTGTGGTCACAAGCTGAACAGCAGTGCTGTTAGCTCATGCTGCGTGTGTCAGGCTTGGTTGCTCACTCAATACTGAGGCCAATAACACCCGGGAGTTTGGCCCACGATTTTTTTTAAAAATGGCGTCTGTTTACAAGAGCCCTGATGAAGGTGTGGTGAACCCCGTGTATCCGCGGGCTGTTTAAATCTTGCGTAGTACTCCAACACATCATATGACGTGATGCGCAGTTGACTGGAACAACGTCCAGCATGTCATGTGACGTGATGCGCACTTTAAGGGTTAAGCCGAACTAGTGGACAGAACTCCTCAACAGAAAACAAGCAAACTAGTATGACGTCACACGTCACCGCGCCGCTGTCTGCGCAGCTCCCCCCTCCCCGGGAGTGGGAAGGGGGAGCCCCAGACCTCCCACGCCGGCTATCCACCCATCAGTTCTTCGGCTGATGCTATAGGCACCGGTTATGTGCTCCGGCTCCAGTGGCTGTTTCAGCACTGTACCTAGAGTGTGGTGTCTGTTTTCTAGGTGGTGCGTGAGCCTGGAGTGATTCTCCAGTACTCGGGCTGCATGCGCCTAGGGTTCCCTTCCCTAGGTGCCCTGTAAGTACTACCCTTGGGGCTTGGGGCCACCTTCCACAAGTTCCTTGGGTCCTGCCCCTGCTAGGCCATTTACTGCTTGATTTTTGGCCGCTCTTTGTGTGCTCGGGTGTTCTGTCTCCCTTGTTCGCCTTAGAGTAAGGGGCAGTTTTGCACTGGTGGGGCGCAGGGTACTGTAAAGCTTGTCTTTACCAATCATGGCGGCCGGCTCTGTTCCGCTTGGGTACTCTGTCCTCTTGCGGGGTTTTCTTTTTCTTTTTGTTTATCTACCTGGTGGGGGGGTCTGTCTTTGTTCTTGCCCCTTGTATCCCTTGTGTTCTGAGTATTTTCTGGTGGTACCCCCTACTAGGTCCCCGTGAGAGTACACGTCCCGGGGGTTCAGCTCTTAGAAAGTTACAACACTGTCACAACACACAGCAGAACCTGTCCACACCCACTGTCACAACACAGCAGAACCTGTCCCCACCCACTGTCACAACACACAGCAGAACCTGTCCCCACCCACTGTCATAAAACACAGCAGAACCTGTCCACACCCACTGTCACAACACACAGTAAGCTTTTTGTCTTGAGATGTGTAATACTTGCCATATTATCTAGGTTCTTGTTATTTCATTCAAATAACAAAGTACTGTACTGTATACACTTATACTGCCGCACTTCTCTTTGTTATTGAATATTTATTTTCCGACATGGACTATTTTCAAGCATAATACATTGCTTGTAATTATTTCCAGGTCACGGTCACGTTCCATCTCGCACAGTCATTCAAGCACAAGAAGAAGAAGAGGTTCAAGCAGTGGAATTAAGGAAGAAATTGGTTCAACTAGTAGAATAAGAGAAGAGTATGGTTCAACTAGTAGAATAAGAGAAGAGTATGGTTCAAGCAGTAGAATAAGAGAAGAGTACGGTTCAAGCAGTAGAATAAGAGAAGAGTATGATTCAAGCAGTGAAAGAAGAGACAAGTACAGTTCAAAGAATTCTGTTATTGTATGCACACTGCGGTCTCTGCGTGAAGCTCATGATCAGGAATGTGACATGTATAGAAAAGTTCCAGTTACTCATCCTGATTACACTAAAGAATTTCGAGCATTTGTTGAAAAGAAAAGAGAAAAAATTGTTTCGCTCGGTGGTGATCCATACACATATGACATGACAAAAGAATGGGAAATATTTTGGAAGTCTCGTATAGAGGATATATTTAATGAGTGCTGGGCAGTGAAGAGAGATCAGTGTATGTCATTACTTCACAATAAAATTTACCCTCATTCTCCCACTGCATCTAGCTGCTCAGTGTCTTCAAGCAGATCATCAGATGCCAGCAATTATAGTTCTAGAAACAGGAAGAGAGCTAAATACACAAGATCACCAAGTGTAAATAGAAAGAAGAGCACTAAGAAAATGAGGAGGACTAGAGATAAAAATATAAGTGATAGAAGTAGAAGTTCTTCCAGTCATTATGAAGACAAGGAAGAGCTGCTGGAACATGAGAAGACTGATGACAAACTTGGAGACCTTATCAGAAAGAGGGAAAGAGATAGTCACTACCAAAGTTCAAAAAGATCAATGGAGACATCTTGGGAAAATGATCCATTCACTAGAGATAAAGGAAGTAGTCATGTTGCTAACCAGAGATTAGAAAATGCTGGAAATCCCAAAGAAAATGTGGATCTGAATAGTATGACAGGAATTATTGATGAACTTCTACAACATTTCACCAAGCCTGAAAATACAGCAAAAGTTGAACCATTGTCGTCTTGCATATCAAACGAAGTTAGTCAGCCTGGTGACAGGCATACTAGTTTGGATGAGAAATCCGACAAGAATCCATTAAAGATTGATCTATCAGAAAAGACAAACTTTACATTAGATGATTCACTTAAAAATCTTTGCGACAGGTTTCCTCAAAAGGTCGATCAGTTGAAATATACAGAGAGACATTTACCAGAAGAAGAGGTATCTTCCACAACTCCTCCAGAAAGTCTTACAGATGACGTGATTGATGTTTTAGAGACATTAGGTCATTTAGATGAGAGGTTGGGTGCATTCCTGAGCCCTGTGAAGTTATTACATGAAAAGGCACTAAAATTGAAGGCTAGTGGACAGGATACCATGAAAATTTTTGATGAAGTTGATAACAAAATTTTGTTACACTTGACAAGGGACAAATTTAAAAATGCAGTGAAAGGTAACACACTGAATATCATCCAGAAAGCCATCATTCAGGAAGCTGAACAAAAACTAAGCCTTCTTCTTGAAAAAGAAAAAGATCGGTCTTTACTCGACGATTTAAATATTGATAGTATAGCTTGTGCATGTCTTGGAAAAAGTACAGAAGAAACTACAACGTTTATTGAAAATGCTTTGATGTATCATGGTCACACTGATGTTCCTCAGGATCAGTTTAAGAGGATCCACATGGCAGTTAAGGCAGAACAAGCAAAGATATTCCACCTCACTGTTTAGAGCTAGTCTCCATTTTTCATTCACATATAAGTACTGTATTTAATTTGGCTCTTCCTGCACCACAAGCTGCACTACAACATGTCCCTGCTATACCACCATGGTGAATACCTGTATGGTCCTGAAGCTTTGCCTAGGTCTAAAATTATATCACCTCACTCCCCATGTTGTACAACATGCTGCTGCATCACAACCTGCCCTTCACCACAACCTGTCCTTCACCACAACCTGTCCTTCACCACAACCTGTCCTTCACCACAACCTGTCCTTCACCACAACCTGCCCTTCACCACAACCTGCCCTTCACCACAACCTGTCCTTCACCACAACCTGCCCTTCACCACAACCTGCCCTTCACCACATCCTGCCCTTCACCACAACCTGCCCTTCACCACAACCTGCCCTTCACCACATCCTGCCCTTCACCACAACCTGCCCTTCACCACAACCTACTAACATCACCACCACCACCACCTTGTTTTACAATGTGTCATTATGCCTGGAACCTTTATTGCCTTTTATGACTTTTCAGTCAGTGGTGGAAGATCTGTGACAAGAGGTAATATGTCTTTACCAAGCTTCAACAGGTTTATCAGTTGACTTTCAAGGTTAGTGTGAAGAAATGATTCAAGATTAATCTACATTTAGATTCACAAACAAGAATTTTGTAAGAGCTTTCAACTGTCTACATATTGTGGAATTTGAAAGTGATTAATCTTATGTTTTAACATTATAGTTTAATAGTGTCCATGTGTGGAGGTCTGCAAGTGATGTATCTTGCCAGTTTATCATCATTGAATTGTGTGCCAGTCTGGAGGAGTCTGAATGTGAGAAGCTCTATTCAAATACAATATTATATACAATATAACACACTTCAAAACATCTGTATACTCCTGCAGCATTTGTGCTGGTGACAACATAATACTCTTGTGTAGTTTCACCAATATTATCAATAAGAAAATTGCCAAAGGGTTGTGTTTTCTGTTGTTGAGTAAGGATGTAACTAAAAAAATTGATTTTTTTATAAAAAAAATGAGTATTGTATACATCACACAATGCAGGTGAAATGCCCTTGACGGCATCTGTTAATATTTATACCCTTCATTTGCAACAGTTATTAATGAACAACTGCTCATTATTATTATTGGAATGACTTGTGGCTAACATCGACTACTGCGTTGTATAGACTAAACACGTCATAGTTTATGACTCTGCTTCTTTTCCTGTGTTATTATCTTACTAACAACCTAGTCTATCCTTAATTCTATACACACTTAATATTTAATGTGCTCAAAATGTTATTTTTCTTAATATCTAGACATTCTCCATTTAATGTTCATATTGGAATTTTAGCTTGGATTATTATTGCTTGTAAATAATAAGCTAGTAAAACTGTAAACACAGGAATCCACAAGTGATGGCACATAAATGAACCAAGATGTGTAGATGTGTTATACTAGTATGCTAGGTTGGGATTTATGCCTGGGGCCAAGTAATGGAACTGTGGTTATAATTTTCAGCACCATGTGTGTGTATTGTGTGCCTGGTGTATTATAAGTAAGTAATTATCAAAAGAAGGCACCAAGCCAGGGAGACTATGTAGCGTGTGCATGGTGTGTGATCCTCTTTTTGTATGTATTTATATGTGATGTGCTTTGGTTTGTGTTAACCAGGGAGCCCCTCAAGGAAGTAATGGTCGGACTTGCTCCCCATGTAGATGTTATGATAACCAAGTAAAATAATAATAGTCGGATCCATTTTTGTATAGTCATCAAAAACTATGGCACAGAGATAAAATTGGTAGTTTTCATAACTTAAGGAGAAATGGCATAGTATTGACAGTTTTAATGTTACCATCATGTACTGTATTAGACAGTAATCAGAACTCATCATCATCAGAGAGGTACTTTTCGTGGCACAATTGTTTTTATCACATTTGTTTATCAAGATTTATTTTAGCATTAAGATATATATGTATATAAGAGTGAAGAGTTTTCAGTGTACAGAACATATGAATTAGTGCTTCATGCTATAATCATGTATACTGTACTTAAGTGTGATAGGTCCTACATATATTATTTGCTATCTGTTACTTCTTCTAGAAGTTATGATTCCATCTTTTGTGAAAAAAATTCAGTTAAGTCAGACAATAGTAGAGTGACTTGGCACATTTTATACTGGTTTTAATAATTTTTTCATGATGCTTGATATTTTACTAATCTACTTGCAGAGTAACTATATATTTCTTCAGAAATTTGACTACAGTATCACATTTTTTCTCTCCTTGTTTGTAATACTGTAATGGCAAAAATGACATTCTCTAAGGAATTTGAATTTTCACTTGGCACAACTAATGTCCCACCTTGTCCATGGTGCATGCTGGAGTGCAGTGTTTGGTGGGACTTAGCTTTAACATTTATATTAAACTGAATCATCCATTAATAATTCTTAGTTCACATTTTACTGGCTAAGACTAAGTGTTGCTGCTTAAAGCAGGGTGCAATAGAAATTGAAAAGAATACAGAATAATTTGTGTGAAAATGTTTTGGATACTAAAATATTTGTATATTGTGGGCATTGTGTTAATTATAATTTTAGGCAAAATATAAAATCAATGTTCCTAAAAATGCTACTAGTAAAAAGAACTGGACATAACTTTGATGTTGACACAAACTTTCCTTTGGTGACATGTATGGTTCTGAACAAGTGTTAAGTTTTCCTTCATAGAATAGCTTGTCATTCCATGGCCTTGAGTATGAGCACATAATTCTACAAGTCTATAGATATAATTACAAATACCTTTATTAATTGTCCTACATCAATAACATGTGGAATGTTCATGTGCTTAATTTTTAATACTGTATACTGTATTACGGTTTAAATAATAAATATTACAGTCAGCCTTCGCATATTGAGTTCAAAGGATGCAAATTTTCCCCTGCATAATTTTGCTAATGTATTTTTTTATTTTGAGTTTGGGTTCTTCCATACTCAAGTTGATGTAATGTTCATAGAGCTTGGGCTCTTGATGGGGTGATGTGTATCACTGCAAGGATGGTTTTTTTGCTTTGTACCACCCATTGTCTCATGCCACTATTCATCCCAGTTAAATCCAATATTTAGACACTGTATTTTGACCTCATCATTCCTTAAAAATATCATGTGCTTTATGGGTTTCATTCCTGCATAATAGCTTCTATGGGTACAGAAATACTAAATTGAGAGTAGACTTTTAGATGGCGACATTTTGCTTGTAAATGTAGAGATAAATCCCTTGTAGATAAAATATTTCTTTAGTAAGGTTTCCTTTGAACTTGGTGTTTCTCAGCATCTCTTGTCAGCCATTTGTGCTCTGTTCAACCATGATGGCTCCTCTCAGACATTCTGCAACTCTTGCTGCACATTAGTCCTTGAACTTAGCATGCAGAAGGAGCATTTGTAATTCATTGATAAATTAGAAATGTTTGAAAGTAAATATCTTAAAAGTGGGGCATTGCTGCTTTCTTTGATCACTCTATTATGTGAATAGGCAAGATGAAGTGCATAAACAGTCCAGTACTGTATATTTATGAAAAGGTGTAAATCTTGCTTTGGTATGTAAGAAGGTCTAAGGGTCAAAGTGGCACAGGATAGAGCAATCATCACAATTTTTGCCATCCAACATATGTAGTCAGAAATACATGTTAGCTTGATGTAAACCATAGCCGAATGGAAAAAGTATCATGTCCAATCGCCTTCCAGTGACCCGTTGATGGGCGAGTCAGATCATGATGACCCTCTCACCAGGTGTTTTATGATCTAAGTGAATCTTTGGAACATATCCTATTTTCCCATGTAAAGTTAACTTTGTGCAAACTATGATCATTTTTTTTTTAAGAATGCAGGTAGAGGGCTGACTGTACTTGATTTATTCAAACTAATCATCAGAATTTTCAATCGAAAAAATTCAACTCTGTTGTTAACAGTATAATAGCTCCGATAAATTTTTTACCAGAAAATATAATAAATGTAAATTTTTTACCAGAAGATATAATAAATGTTTATTAAGTTTCTTTTATTTTAAGTATTTTGTCTACTAATCAACATAATTATTGTGGGCTAATTGGAAATATTATTGAAACTTTTTTGCATATGTAACTGGAATCATTACTCTATAAACTTAGGTCACAAATCTGTGATTAGAAAATCTAAGTCATTTCATTAAATTCTCCACAATCTGCATTAAAAAATTCTAGCATGCACATACTGACATCGGTTTAGCTGGCACACTTCAACTGTTTGTTTACAGATTGCATTAACAATGATTTAGGGAATGGTTGTATATTACCTCAGTGATGAGTGCAGTGAGCTATAAAGTAGCCAGAGGGAAGTGGACTTTGATCTCTTCATCTTTGGCAATAATATTTACCATATATTGTAGTTATTACAAAAAGGATTGAATAAATGTAGAAGAGTTGTAAATTTCATTTATTATGGTAGGGTATCTTATGGACCAAATACTGTATGAACATTATGAGTTGAGATTGTGCTAAAGGTACAAATCACCATCTTTACAGAACCAAAGTCATGTAAATATATTTGATATTCAAATAAATATAATAAATGTCAACCTGTATATTTTTGCCCTAGTTGTGAGCAAAGAGAGATGGTATGTTGAGTTAGTATAAAAATATTGTTGTTACTGTAAGGCATATCAAAGTAACAGTTGCCATGTTATGGAATTTTTTAATCCACCTGTGATCTCACGGGTGGTTTCTTGACGTTGTGAAGGGGCTCTTTTGTGCCACGTGTGGGGTAGGTGTTGGTGGCTTCTACTTCCTGTCCTGCTGGCTCTGACAGTGCACAAGTGATTCATGTCTTACTTATATGGCTTTGCCACCCATGTATTCCCCATTGTTCCTTCATCTGAACATTGAGCCTTCCTAGTGGTTCCAGCCACTGGGGGAGGCAACACACTTCTTTGGTGCGAGATAGGGGTTAAATGGAAAGTTCAGCGAGATTCGCCTGAATCAATTGGCTTGGCTTGCATTGCAGGGTTGACATCCTATCAGTCCCTGGGCTGCTATTCAGACCCCTTCTGCAGTTACCTGCATAAGCTCTTTATGTTATCTCTGAGGTTGCCTAAGTGTTTTTTACCTCCCGTGTGGGTGCAGGGCAGTGAAGTCTAATCAATGTTTTTTTTATATGTTAACTTTATAAATACAGTACATCCCTTCTTCCTCTCAGATTCATGGAGTGGGCAACCAGGCCCCCGAGTCTGTGACGGAAGATTGGGATTCCACTGGTCCAGACGTGTTACGCCTATACTTGGCTTCGGCACTGACAAACCTTTCTGATCCGTTCCATACCTCAGCCTTTTTGGCAAGGATGTTTCCCAAGTCCCATCCTTGGTTTGATTTGATTTGAAGTCCCGAGTGATTACAGACTCTATGTAGAGCAACTCCACCTTTGTTACAAATGTGCCTTTTACCCACCTCCTTAGGGGTACACAGTGCCAAAATCTCTCAAACCCCACCACTTGACTTACTGCTACATGTCAAGCCTGGCCTCGGGCCGGGCTTGGGGAGTAGAACAACTCCCAGAACCCCATCTACCAGGTATCAACCAGGTATCAACCATGGTTAGGGGCCTGACAGATGAGTAATTACCTAAGTGTAGTTACAGGATGAGAGCTAAGCTTGTGGTATCCCATCTTCCCAGCACTCTTTGTCATATAACACTTGAAATTACTGACGGTTTTGGCCTCCACCACCTTCTCACCTAACTTGTTCCAACTGTCTACCACCCTGTTTGCGAAAGTGAATTTTCTTTTATGTCTTTGGCTTCTCTGTTTAGTTTAAATCTATGACCTCTTGTTCTTGAAGTTCCAGGTCTCAGGAATTCTTCCCTATCAATTTTATCGATTCCTGTTACTATTTTGTATATAGTTATCATATTGCCTCTTTTTCTTCTATCTTCTAGTTTTGGCATATTTAATGCCTTTAACTTCTCCTCGTAGTTCTTGTTCTTCAGTTCTGGGAGCCACTTAGTAGCATGTCTTTGCACCTTTTTCAGTTTGTTGATGTGCTTCTTAGGATATAGGCATCAACCGCTGCATATGCAGCGGTAAACTAGATCTATATATGAAAACTCTTTCAGGACAAAATTTAAAGTAAAACTAGATTATGTAAAACTAGATTAAAGTAAGATTGTTTCTATCTTTCTTGAGACGTATAAAAATCTTACGTTTATTAACGATTCTGCGTGAAATAAGCATTGTTCTGAGATGAATATTGCGGATTTCTGGCTCTACGACCGATGAAAAATGCAACTTTTATACAACTACAAATATCTTTAGTTTTAATTTAAATTTTGTCCTGAAAGAGTTTTCATATATAGATCCAGTTTCTGCCGTTCTTCTGACATAAAAAGACCTTTGGTTTAATAAGTTATTAAGATGTTTTCAACAATATTACTAGGGCGTTCACCGATTCTAACATGGGCGACCCTTTTGGAAACGCAACACATGGGTTGACCTGATTGATATATGGGTCAGATTCCATTAAGGTTCGGAACATAAACATTAGCAATAAAAATGATGGAAAGTTTCTTGGCATATTCCTAGACAAGAGACTCAACTTCAGTACCCACATACAATACATAACTAAAAGTCTCTAAAACAGTTGGTATACTCTCCAAAATCAGATATTATGTTCCTAACTCTGCTCTCATCTCTCTTATATTATGCACTAATCTATCCCTATCTCAACTATGGTATCTGTGCATGGGGTTCAACCACTGCAAACCACCTCAAGTCCATCATCACCCAGCAAAAATCTGCTATCAGAATAATATCAAATTCTGCTTTCAGACAACACTCAGCCCCCTTGTTTAACTCCCTAAACATGCTAAACATAATCTCACTCCACAAATTCTCTTGTGTCAACTACATTTACAAAACCCTGTTCTTAAATGCAAATCCTTGTCTGAAACTCTCCCTGGACAGATGTAATAGGACCCATTATCACCACACCAGAAATAAATATCTCTTTGATATCCCCAGAGTTAAACTTAATCTGTGTAAACACTATGCAAATAAAGGGACCCAGATTATGGAACTCACTCCCTACTGAATTGAAAAGCTGTCCAACTTATACATCATTCAAAATCAATACTAAAAAGTACCTAATTTCATCTTCATAGTTCTTCACTTTTTGCCTTAAAATTGCACTGTATCTATTGCTACCCAATCTCCCAACCTTTATGTTCCCAATTTGAACATCTTTACTATTGTGATCATAATCATCATATGTGCTGCCAATCTGCTGTATGGCGTTTATAAATCTTGTTTATCTGTATCTTTTGCTACCCAGTCTCCCAATCTTTATGTACCCAATCTGAACATCTTTACCATTGTGATCATTGCTTATCTTATATCTATCCTTATCTCAACTATGGTATTTGTGCTTGGGGTTCTACTACCCAAAATCACTTACGTCCTCTAATTACCCAACACAAAGCTGCTATTAGAACAATATCCAACTCTGGCCCCAGACATCACTCGGTACCCCTACTCAAATCTCTGAATATGTTAGATATTAAGTCACTGCACATTCTCTCATGTGTATTATACATATATAAAACGCTAAACTATAATGCCAATCCTGATCTTAAAAGCTTCATAGAAGGTTGTAACAGAACCCATGAGCACCACACCAGAAATAAATACAGTTTTGATATTCCTAGAGTACGTCTTAATCAAACTAGAAATGCTCTACAAATCAAGGGGCCCAGAATGTGGAATGACCTTCCCAACCATGTTAAAGACTGTACCTCTCTCAACCAGTTTAAGATAAAAACTAAACACTACCTAATAAATTCCCTGTAACCTACCTCACTCCTCTATTGTCAACCCATGTCTGTTATTTTTTTTTTTTTTTTTTTTTTTTTTTTTTTTTAATCAACACTGTTTGTCAACCTATTGTATTTGTGCTGCTTTTTCAGTCATGTTCCCCCTTTTTTTATCCTTATTTGTATTTGTTCTCAACACTTTTTATTCTTTATGCTCAATTAGTATTAAGTTCTAGATATTAATGTTTTTCTTGCCCGAAACGCATTGCGTATTAGTGGCTTTAAGCATTGTATGTACTAGCTCTATCTATATATCAATCCATTAATGTAACATCACTTGTATGTATATACCTTACCTGAATAAACATCTGAATCTGAATCTGAATCTGAATAAGTGCTGTCAATCTGCTGTATGGTGTCTATTAATCTTGTTTAAATTACTAATCAAGCTGTCAATGTAATCAATCAGAGCTTTAATATAACAATGTGCTTTAATATACTTATCTCTCTCATCTCATTTTTCTCTTGCAATGTATCTTTATCATTTATCAATTCTGATAGAAATTACCTACTTAAAATTATGTGCTAGATTAAGGACCTGCCCGAAACGCTGCGCATACTAGTTGCTTTACAAGAGTGTAAATACTGTACTATCCAATGTATTCTCACAAACCCAATGTACCTTCTTGTATATATATAAATAAATAAATACATGACTAGCAGGTACCAAGCTTGGCGGGCGTCCTGTACGCTCTATTGTTTACCTCCTCCTGGCGTCTGAGCCGCCGCACATAGAAAACGGATGGTACCGTTTTCTGTGAACATGACATCCCTCCTTTTCTTTGAAAAGATTCAGATTCAGATTCAGATGTTTATTCAGGTAAGGTATATACATACAAGTGATGTTACATTAATGGATTGATATATAGATAGAGCTAGTACATACAATGCCTAAAGCCACTATTACGCAATGCGTTTCGGGCAATTCTGAATGAAAAAGAATGAATACAAGATGTCTACCATCCAAAGCAAAGTTATTGACACAAAGTTATTAACATATCAAGAGATATTGCATACCTTTAACATTAATTAAGCACACAAAGAATTTAAACAACTTAATCTTTACTACAAAGGATTTCAATGTTAAAAATACATATGCAATGTTAAACAAACATGAAAGAAACTGTAATACAAAGTTACAAAATATTGAATGAGAGATCTGCATTATTCAAACAATATTCAATTTAATTTAGCATAATAAGTAAATACTTTGCATTACATAGGAACACAATTAATCATCAAATCGTGTAGGGCGTTTAATGTACATTTACAAAGGTGAAATGTAATTCTGATCAGCTTCCATATATACTTTATATCCATACATATACATACACACACACATATACATACATATATACACACACATGCATTCACATACATTTGTCTCTTTTACTCTGACAGGGTGAGATAGCTGATAAAGAAACTAGTGTGCAATTAAGCACTTAATCACTGAAGGTGATTAAGGTGCTTTTACAAGCTAAGGTTATATAGTTACATTATATACATACATTGTATAATTAATCTCTTACATGGTCAATCTTGGATACAAGTCCAATATATCATCAAGTGTTCCAGTACTCATATAGTAATTACAGAGTTCAGCATACCTTAGCCCAGGAGGGCGAAAGTCAGTCAATATGGGACATTCTACAATATAATGTTCAAGAGAGTGCATGTTTTCTCTTTCACAAAGTTGACACATTGTGTACTCGACATTTG